CTGCTTATTTTATCAAAGTTTTTATTCCCACGTTCCATCCTGCATAAAACGCTTATTTAATTTTTTTTTTTATTTTTTTTTTTTTTAATTTTTTTTTTTTTTTTTTTTTTTTTTTTTTTTATTTTGCACCTCATTATTTTCTAACTTGTCATGGCTAATTGATTGCCTTCATTCGATTCTCCACCACAGGTTTAAAAGGGCCAGGGCCGACCACTTGTACATATTCCACACCTATTCGCAGTAACAGGGACGCTAATAACACCACTTTCCGAGTAACTGTTCCAGCATGTCCTTTCAAGATGTGTTGAAAAGAGGAGAGGATTTCCTTAATGCCTACCCTAGAAACTCTCCATTCTGGAACTTAGCCTCTCATGCGACATGTCTAGCCATGATAATTCCATCCAAATTCTTACTCAATGTGCTTTACAACCCCCAAATTCACCATATAGAGAAATTGGACTCTGCCCTCTCGAAAGCAAAGTCGGAAAATAGATCTTTACTTACTGTGATGAATCATATGTCTGTTGTGGACGATCCAACATTCTACGCAGCCTTACCTTGGAGGTTTCATACCGATATTGACACCATAAGATGGGGTTTCGGCGCACATAACATATGCTTCTCCAACTTGACGTTGTCGTGGTTCTTCAATTTGGGTAAAATCTTGGGAACTCAACGTTTTGGACATGGTCCCTTTCAAGGCTCTTTGGATGCAGCCATTAGAATTCTTTCGCCTGATGACACTTTGGATTTGGAATTCACCCCTGGGGTTAAAGAAGTACAGAAACCAATGTTAATTCAAGAAGTCAGTGTGAATGCTGACGAAGTTAAGCACCTAGTCCACAAGTACAAGCCATCTGCTGAAAGTGCCAACATCCTCATGTCCAAGTCACCCTTCATCCGCTCAACGACGTCATGGTTCCATGTATTCCCCGAAGGATTCGTATTGCAGTTGCAAGAACCACATAATAACTCCATGAGATACTTTAAGTGGGGTGTTTCAAGATTAATATTGGAGTCCACTGTATCACCTGTGGTGGTTCCAATTTTCTCATCAGGATTTGAGAAAATAGCACCAGAGCAAGCCGATGAGGCCAACATGGGATTGAAAAGGTGGCTACCATCAAATTTGGGTGCTGAAGTACACATATCCATTGGAGACGCCATTTCTGATGAAGTCATTGACAAATACAGACAAAGATGGAGACAGCTCTGTGAGAAGTATATTGATCCGTTAAACCCTACAGACTTGTCCGAAGAACTCAAAAATGGAAAACAGGCTCAAAAATTGAGATCTGAGATCGCTTCTGAGTTGAGAGATGCAGTCTTCAAGATCAGAGAATCTTTGGGAATCTTTAAACCTGAAGATCCTAGGTTCAAGGACCCTAAGTTTTGGAAAGAGTACACCAGAACTGAAGGTATGAGCAATCCAGAGGTCCAATTCATTGGTAAAAATTGGGCTATCAAGAGATTACAGAAGCATTTACCTGAATACAGCGAGGAAAAGCCAAAGGATGAGTAGTCGATCAACAATAGATGAATATGAACAACTCCCTAACTAATTTCCAGTGTTTTATTTCATTTTGATTTCCATTCTGAAATTCATTTATCTTCTGTACATATATATATAGCAAACCAACGAAACTCTTCATGACGTAAAGACTACCATTGTAAGACAACAACTGTGCCATGTCTTAGCCTAACCGAGTAGATCTACTGGGACATTCCATCACACATTATATGCAGTCCATATATATATTATGAAGGTTTCAAAAAATTTTTGATTTGAAAATTTTGGTTGCAATTCAAACAGTAGGAGGCACTCTGTAGATAATTGGATGATTAGGAGGGGGATAGTTGCTGGCGCTTACCGTCATGAAGTGCTTTCAGGTCAGAGGCTTTTTATACGATCAAAATCAAAATGGTTTAATCCCTTAAGTAGATTTAGCAATAAGTCCAACAAGCAGGAACATTCTCCACAATCAAATCAACAAGTGCTGAATAAGAGTCATATGGTAACAATAGAAGAGCCGGATAATTCATATACTAGTGGATCTGGAAAGGAAGCTAACCACGCATCTCTTGTTCGCGACTTTAACCATTACCTTAGGACTGATATTCCAGATATCCTCCAGCAGAAGATTCTCACAGATAAGTTGAGCCAGTACATTCGAGTAGTGCCTGATTTTGGTAGCGATAAAACGACTATTCCGATACTTAATAAGGTTTTCTTAAGATTGTACACGCTCCAGAATAATGAGATTGAAGGGACTTTATCATTAGACGAGCTTTTAATCTTATTCGAGAAGTCTACTTTGGCAGTCACCAACGAATCCAGGAGTAACTCAGAGAATTTCTATGTTCCAAAGTATCTTGCTCTTTTGGCAAGGCATTTCTATACCCAACCCAACGATGACGGAAAGATTCCGGTAAAGATTTTCGTTTATGTTGTTGAATTAGGTAGTTCTATAATTAAGAATTCCTCATTGAAAGATTCACTACAACTATTGTTCAACAACAAAAATTTGAAGCTCTCCGCGGACTTTACAAGCTCTTTAATTAAATATCTAACTTTTAAGAAGAGACTTTCCATCGTAACTTTCCAAGAAATCTTCCAATCCTCTGTAAATAGTGGAAGATTTCTAGAGCTAATCGATGATGAGTTTTTCGATACTTTCAATGGATACGTAGAGAACTTATACAGGGACACCCCTCCACTAGTACACGAGTATAAGAATTTAGAAAGGAACTTGGAAACGGTACAGCAAGTTACCAATCAAATTATAGAGACCTTGTTAAAAGAGGGTGAGATTGGTGTTGACTTCATTGGTGTAAGTTCATATTTGAAAATGGCCAAATTGTCGCATGAGCTAGATTCAGTAAGTATGAATACTGGATTTCCCAATGGATCTACAAAGACCCTTGAGTTTCTTGTCGAAAATTCTGAAAACTTGGAGCTTTTGTACGAAGAGATCAGAAGGGAAATCTTCAAGCAAAACTTGGACGAAGAATCACTAGCTGAAGTGTTGTTGATCACATCATGGGGCAGTACCAAGTTAAATTGTTTAGCAAACATGTTAAGTGAATATATAGCTTCTGATGAAGTGAAGTTTTCATTTGAAATCAGGTTGCAAGCAAAGTTAGGGATACTTTTAAGTGGTGCGGATGGCTCTGAAAGTGAAATCTTCGAATTTGTAGAAAAAAGCATAAGTGAAATGATTGCAAAAGAGGAAGATAGTGCTAAGAATAAGGCTGAAAATCTACTAGACTTCCGATCGATACATGCAAAAGTAATACAGGTTGCGCTCACTTCGCCAAAAATACCCGCTAGGGGATATTTCACTCAGTCATTATTAAATTTCTTTAAAGAAAAATATCATGCTACTGATTTCTCGGTGTATTCGTTCAAGTACCAAGTCGATAAAGCGGTATCAATCGGAAATCATCTACAAGCAGTTAATGCATTTGAGGACAGTTTAGACCAATATACTCAGTGGCCCACCAGCAGAGATCCAATGACTAAGTCCACTTTGGATAACTTGGTGGTTTTAATTTGTAAAGAAATGGACAACATTGAAGACATATTCCCCATCTTCACTAAAATAAAACAACAAATGGTTGATAGTCAATGCAGTATTGATTCGATAAATGCAATGGCAGGTAAAATGCTTCAAGCTGAATTTGTTGGTGATACAATTGAATTTTTGAAAAGAGAGTTGCCCAAGATTGGAAAAGAAGATACCGAAAAGTTACCTATGACTGAAAAGTATGGGAACCTCTTTTCCACCTTGCACAATTTTGTTCTCACTTATAAGAATGAATCGACATTTGAAACCAACTGGGTCTTGTACGGAGAAATCCACAGGTATTTCAATGTCCCTTACGAGTATTATTTACCGGCAATGAAATTTTTTAGCGAAAATCAGAGACAAAACGCTTCTCTTATAATATTTAGACAGATGGTTAGACTAAATGAATTACATGGCCATGGTAAGAGCACTCCTTTTTTGGCACCTCTGAGAGATCATTACTTACTCTTATTTCAAGAGTTTGGAAACCAACTTTATGAAGATGGAGTAGCAGAATTACATGAATATATTAAAATGGATGTACATATACCGAAGCAAGATATCCAGTTGCAGAATACAATATTGAATGCTTACTCCAATTTGCAAGATGTACCTAAGACAAAGGATTTATTCCTTGCAATGTCATCAAATCCTAAAGAAATCGGTGGAATCAACGAAGATTCTATCCAAATTATGATAAAGACGTATACATACAGCGATATTGCTTATGTGAAGAAATTCTGGAATAACTTATCTCAGTATGGTATCATCCCGAATTATGGAATTTTCAAACAATATCTCATAGCTCATGTTTATCATGGTTTAACAGAAGAAGCAATCGAATTGACTCAGGGGGAAATGAGTGATTATGAGATAGAAATGTCAAGTGATATATTAATATCTATGTTTAACTTCTCGTTGGAACTGTCGCAACAGCAAAAAATATCTACCTGGGCACAGGAGCAGTACCCATCCGAATGGGAAACTGCAAAATCCTCAGGTTCACTAAAGGCAACCTCCAAGTCAACTGAAGATCCTCTGTTGATGATTGAAAAAGGTTACGAAACAGAGAAGTAACTGGTTCATGTATTATAGAAAACTCTACAACAAAGAAGGTGAACTGTATATATTATTTAATGTACATTGTAAATATGACAGAGTTGTTCACATTTCCTCTATAATAATGTAACTTCCATGGTTATTACTAAATGCATGAAATCATGGTTGTTCGTATTTTAAGTTGTCCTTCATAACTAGTTTAGGCTTACCATTTAATTTTGTACTATTTACCTTAGTTGCAAACCGTAATGAATTTAAAGTCTCGTTAAAATGGGTTTGAGCTGGAGATACATTCACAAACATGAGAGTTTTGGATTTTCCCCCTAAACTATTCTTTAAAAGATATGTTAACTTTGAATTTCTATAAGGAATATGCAGCAGCTGCAACAGTTTCTGCTGTTGCTCCTGTGCTAGTGCATATATGACATCTCCTAAACTAGACAATGATTTATTGATTGCTTGCGTCTCTTTTAATCTATCGCCAGTTACTTGAGAGTTAGAAATTCTCTCTGAGCCTGCCAAATCTATGAGATTTAAAGTTCCATTACAATGAATGCCTTTTTCTGCATTTTTGCCTTTAATTTTTATGATAAATATTGAATGTGACCTAGACGATCTTTCGTTAGATTTTGTAGAAGCTGTAGATCTATTTCGGTGAGCCCTTTCTAAGATCAGATTTACCTGTGAAGGAGATGTCAATGAGACAGTTGTAATATTAGTCACATTAGTTGTGCCATTGACATCGTCATGTTTGATTTCATACTTGAAATTATTCCCATATTGACTCTGGCTACCTATTAGATCCATTATCGATTCATTATAGATTTCTAGAAATTGACCATCTACTTCGTACTCCCAACCACTTGACTTGAGCACTTCAATATCTTGGAAGATTTTATAGATCGATAATGGAATCATTCCATCTTGGGGGTTTGACATTGTCCACGTCTTACCAGAACCTGTCTGACCGTAAGCGAAAACACAGACATTGAATCCATCTAATGCTGATTGTATCAATTGAGACAACTCTTCAAATATTTCATGGTTCGTAGAAGAAGGAGGAATTACTTGGTCAAACTCAAATTTATAAGATGATTTTTGAGGTGACATTCCTGCCCTCTTAGATACTTCCTTAGCATTTGGCTTTTCAACAGTGAGTGCTGTTTTACCATCCAGTGTAAGCATATTATCACCTGATATATGGAAAGGTATCATATCGTCTATTCCTTCTTTCAGTATTATCGGCCTAATTCTACAAAATACTCGTATATTCCCCTTTAATTCTTGTAGCTTATTATGAAGTTGTCTTCTTTGAAGCTCTTGATTACCGAATTTTTCATTATACAAGATTTCTTCCGCTCTCAATTTGTTGAATTCCATTGTGTTTTCATTGAATTTACTTTCAATGGATTCTATGGAATCTTCCATATCACGTACTTCATCTTCTATGGATTTTATATTCTGTACTTGAACTGCAGATATCGACATGACTTCATTGAGCTTTTCCGTTTCAATTTTCAACAATGGTTCTATGTCCCCCAGTAACCTTGCTTCCATCTCAGCAATTTGGTTCAATCTTGACTCCTTTAGCTGTTCCAAGTTATCCAACTCTTCTTGTAAAGATTTCAAGCTTTCATCCATAGATTTGTCCAAAGAGATTAGTTTCATGCTGTGATCTTCCTTCAACTTGATTAGTTTTCTATTCAAGTCTTGCTCGCTGTTCTTAATTTTCAACTCCAACTCGTCAGCTCTTGCTCTCAGGTTTAATAGTTCTTGCTGGTTCTTTTTAAGTGATTCTTTAATGAGAACTTCGATCTCCACCGAGACTCGATTCTTCAAGTCTCTAAGTTCTTGTTCGTGATGCAAATTCAAAGTCTTCGCATGAAGCTCAAACTTATTATCAATTTCTTTGAGGGAGTCTCTTTCGTGTTCTTTGAGTTCAGCTATTTCATTTTCAACCACCACTAACTGTTGCTTAAGCTTAATCAATTGGTCTTGTTGCTTGAAATACTCGAACTCGAACGTAGACCTTTGGGTTTGCAAGGTCATAATTGTAGTTGAGATTTTCAGAAGCTCATCTCTCTGTTGATCAATTGAGTGGTGAAGCTTGAAGAGCCTTTGCAGTTGGTCAGATTCAATTCTAGAAAGCCTTGAAATGAGATTTTCACTACCATGTTTAGCATGAGATGCAGACAGGGGGGTGGTTGATCTACCAGCTGATAGGCGATATTTCAGTATGGCATTGGTTTCCGTTTCTCTTTCAGGTTTGTGCATAATTTTAAATCTTTTGTTATTAGGGGATTGCTTATAGGGGAAAAAGTTCTCTTTTGATCCCGTGTCTGGAGATGTTGGAATAGGAATTGTACTTGGATGGTGAGTTGCAAATTCTTCTACCACTGGAGTTTGTGGTATTTGCTGTAGTTTCTCGATTATATCCAATTTGTCATCCTGTTTAGTTTCACTGTCTTGGAATATTGCATCCGCAGAAAAGGGCGAAACCATAGCTTGATACAAAGCACAATCAGATTGGTTTGATATGGCGTAGTACCTTCGTTCGTTGCATGTCTCTCTACATTTCTAAAACATAAACATAAACACGCAGCGCGGCGGTTTTGTGTCATGGAACCATTTCCTGCAGGTTGCGTTTTTCCTAGCTGCGTGAAATTTCATAGTGGAGGAGATGAGATGATGAGCAAAAAAATGGATATTGTCAAGCTAGTAGAAGGCCAGTTTATTGTAGACTTAGACCACAAGGATTTGCAAAATTGTAAATATGGGTGCAGCATACAAAAAGCAAAAGCTTAATGGAGGTGGATTGAAAAAAAAGGAGACTGTGAAGGCAAAGATAGAAAAGAAGGTGGAGTCTGAATCTGAATCTGAATCTGACAGGGAACTTGAAGTGAGCGATGAGCTGCGTAGAGAAGAAGATGATGAAGAGGAAGACGAATCTTCTTTAGAAAATCTTGATGACATAGATTCCTCCGATGAGGATGTTGAAGTTGATGAAGATGATGAAGTGGACGTAGCTGATGTATCTTCGTCAGATGACGAATCCAATGATGAGAAGAATTCAGACTCGGACTCGGATTCAGACTCAGACTCAGAGATTCCTAAACTCAAGAAGAAGAAAAATTTGGATGACGGATCAGAATCTTTCGCCAATGCTGTCACTGCAATTGTTGGGTCCCGTTTGAAGGCTTATGATAGAAGCAACCCCATCTTAGCTAGATCCAAAAGATCTTTGAAGAAATTGGAATCCGATAAGTTGGAGGCTAAAGCCAAGAGATTGTTGAACGCAGAAAAGAAAGATCATATGGATAACTGTAGAGTAAAGAATTTATTACCATCCGCTGACCAGCCTGAAAAGGTTAGAGAAATCATAGAAAAGGAAAGAAAGTTGAAGAAAATTGCCCAAAGAGGTGTAGTACGGTTATTCAACGCTGTTCTTTCAACTCAAGTTAAAACAAATCAAGACATCTCCAAGGAGAAGGTTGGGTTAACTAGAAAGAATGAACTTATGAACGAAATATCGAAGGAAAAATTCTTGGATTTAGTTCAAGCAGCAGGTCAATCATAAGAGAAGAAAGAAAAGAGGTGAATTGTATAATAGGTAACGATAATAGCAAGTCCGGTCATTCAATAAAATAAAATAGAATAAAAAGAAAATGAAATAAAAATTAAATTAACTATTTATGCGACTAAATCAAAATGTAGACGAGAATAAGTCCAATATATCCGTTTAGTTAGCCAGACAGAATAGCGAATCATTAGAAATTGATATTAATGGATAAGTAGAGACTCCAAGAAAAAGAAATGCTCGGAAGTAGATCAGTTCAATAGAACGCTAAAGTATGTTTGTATTTCTCTTCTGGATAAAGACGACATGCGTAGTTGGGAAGCATCGAACTTTTTGCACCCAAAAAATATACCGAATTTTGATTACATGCGTATGCATCTGCTATAGAAGGGTCGAAACACCAAAAAAAAAAAAAAATTCTAACTTACTATTAGCACAGCTGTCCTATTTATATTTCAGGTAATTGAGTTTTCTTATCACTAGTCACTGAAGCCAAAGGATACTCCTTACTAGTGGTGAACATTGTACATGACTTATCTAAATGTTATTTCTGCTTTTTCACCGCATTGGTATTCGATCTTTCAAGCATGGAGCTGGCTAATTAGTCTCTCACCATTTTTATTTAGTAGATTCCTGTAAAATTAAGTTACATGATAAATGTGAGGAGATCATTACTCTAACTGGAAATTCATAGCAATTTCATTAAGCAAGATTACGTTATCAAAAATATGATTTATACCAAGATCATAAACAGCTGAAAAACTGCCAAAAACTGAAGATCGCGAAGTCAGAAGACACTCCTCCTTTTGACTAGTATTCCTCTACCTCCTCTTAAGCTTAACCTCACAGGGCAATGAGCGATAAAAAGTTTCTAACCGTACTGAATTGGAGAGTAATCTCTTGCTGCTGCTGGACATTTTCGTGCGGGTTTTCCGATGCTGCTCCTGGTGCCTTACTTCCATTCATCGAAGACTACTATGGCATTTCGTACACCGTTGTATCACTTATCTGGTTGGCCAATGCCCTTGGATTTATTGTGATCGCTGCTCTCTCGCATAAAATCCAGGAATGGTTAGGCATGCGAAAGTCATTGGCTTTCGGCTGCTTTTTATCCTGGATTATGTACGGAATGGTTCTGAGTGGATCCAACTTCGCCGTAGTTGTTGTTGGTTTCTTCTTTGGCGGAGCAGGGATTGCCATTGGCCTAGCACAGACCAATGTCTATTTGGCCAGATTGGAAAAATCTTCTACATATTTAGCTTACAATCATGGCTCTTATGGCGTGGGTGCTACAATTTCTCCGTTAATTGCAACTGTTTTCGTGGATAGAGGAGTACCTTGGAATTTTTTCTATTTGGTATTGTTAGCTCAGATGGTAGCTCACGGACCAAATGTTTGGTTTGCATTCCAAGGAATTGACAATGAACAAGAAGTAGAAGATAGAGAAGATAGCGCCAGCATACAACTAGACGCTTTCACGTCTGCATCGCCTGGGGTACATGCGTCGGGGGATGAACCGCATATAATGATCCAGGCTTTAAAAAATAAGGACACATGGTTGATGGCATTGTTTGTACTTTTATATCAAGGATCAGAAGTCTCAATGGCAGGTTGGATCGTTACATATTTACTTGATTATCGTCATGGAAACCCCAGTACAGTAGGCTACGTTGCATCAGGTTTCTGGGGAGGTTTAACAATAGGCAGATTATTTTTAACGCCGATACTTTACAAATATTTCGGATCGAGAAGAAGTGTAATAGTCCTAGGGATACTGGCCGTTATAATCGTAATAATTGTATGGGTGGTCCCCAATGCAGTTGCTGCGGGATGCCTAGTCGCAATATCAGGAATACTAATTGGCCCAAACTACACGCTCTTAATTACAATGACTACGAGAATAATTCCAAGAAAGATTCAAGTGATTTCGCTAACAATTATGACGGCATTTGGTTCTTCGGGTGGGGCGATATTTCCGTTCTTTGTGGGGTTGATCTCACAGTCTGCAGGTACTTATGTAGTTCTTCCCATTTTTGTTGCACTCTATCTGACGATGGTTATCGTATGGATTTGCTTACCAAACGTAGAGAGGACCAATAGGTCTTCTCAGGCGGTTGGATTTGAAAAATGGTGGCTTCGAGTCTGGTAAAACCTTAAGGGTGGACGAATTAGGAATGTGATCCGGGTCTGGGGTGCGTGCGGCGGACGTGGGTTTTAAAAAAATAATCTTACAAGTCCCAAATTTGCAGCCAAACCCCGGAAAATAAAAATGTCTTACATGCTATATAAGACAAGCGAATCCTTTCAGGCGGATTCCCATCGCCTTTAAAAATTTTCGTACATACGCTCTTCAATTTACTTATAATTTGTAACATATGGCTATCAGAAAAGTGCTAAGGTCACGATTTTTTTTCTCTTCTTGTTGCCTCTCGCTCCATTAGTCGGAAATTTGAAATTGAATTAGTAAACCTTTTGCATATGTAAAAATAATACATTTATTAACGATATAAGGCTCATCCTCCTCTGAAACAACTCTCCTTTATTCAAAAGTATTTAAAAGAGTGTATTTGAATTACTTTCGAATATTTTTACTGCCTATTCTTCTACTTTAGAAAGTAATAACCAATTTTCTCTACGTAACTCAAGTGAATACTTTTCACAGTTTGATTTCTTCAAATAGTGTTTCTTCTGTCTGAGTAGCAGAAAGGATTATTAATATGTCAAGTAGTAGCACAGTAACTGAGACTCATCTCGACCAGTTCGATGAAATGCTTGAAAACACTCTTGCATTCGAACAAAACGTAGGCTCGTCTACCGGCACCATATCAAGGAGGATGAGTGTAAGACAGGATGGGCCCTTAAACGAAACCTTAGCTCCTCTTCTGAATAATACGAACTCAATAATCCAAAATGTACCAGAGTCGTTACCAACTACTCCAGGATATGAGATAGATGATAAGATGTTCGCTAAGGGATTCTCACTTCACCAACCACAGGTAGACAACTTCCCAACACAACGCCCAGGATTCACTAGATCAGAATCCAGACCAATTTTAGAGAGATGGAGGAGTATTAATGATGTGTTCAGCAAGCTTATACCAAAGAAAATACAAGAAGAGGAAGAAGTTAATACTTCCTCAACGAACGTTGAAGAACATTCTCCTGTTACAGATGCCACTGAAGAAATGACATTTCGCAACCCACCAAAGAATCTTTGGAGGTTCATAAGTTGCTGCATTTGGTGTTTCAATGTGGGTCTTTCGGATGGTGCACCCGGTGCATTGTTGCCCTATATGGAGGAGTACTACAACATTTCCTATTCAGTAGTGTCTCTTATCTGGATGTCTACAGCTGTTGGATTCATTGTGGTTGCCTTACTTGCCCATAAGATTGAGCCATATCTTAATAAAGAGTTATCCTTGGGCGTGGGTAGTTGTTCATTGATGATCCTGTACATTTTCATCCTGACTGGCAGTAAATTTCCACTAATTGTCGTCGGCTTTTTCTTCTGTGGGGTAGGTGTGGCAATAAACATTTCCCAGATGAACATTTTTCTCAGTAGATTGGAAAAAGCTTCCACAGCATTAGGTTTGTTTCATGGTAGTTATGGATTGGGAGCAACTTTAGCACCATTGATTGCCACTCAGTTCGTAAACCTGGGAATTAAGTGGCACATGTACTACATCATGTTAGTAGGACTTATGTTTTTCAATGCTACCAATATATTTCTAGCATTTAAAGGAGCTAATGCTGACTTGGCACCTTGGGATAATAAAGAGGACCTGAAACCTGAAGACATGGAAACACCTCTCAATGAAGCGATGAAGCAAGAAGAAAATATGATCGGATTGAGAGATCTCACAAGAGAAGGTGGTCAGGTTGATTTAAGGCCTAACTCTCCGGAACGCTCAGATTCAACTGAGAAGGCTATTCCAGATCCTGCTCAGGCTCCTGTTTTCCCCAAGGGGAACATGTCTTTAGCTCTCCACAACCGTGTTACTTGGTTGTTGTCTTTATTTGTTTTATTTTATCAAGGAGCTGAAGTGTCCATGGGAGGTTGGGTCGTCACTTTCTTACTTACATATCGTAATGACACTAGTTCTAGTGTTGGTTACGTTGCTTCTGGTTATTGGTTCGGATTAACGTTGGGAAGACTCTTTCTTACTAGGCTTTTCCATAAGTACTTGGGGGCTCGTAGGGCCATCATAATTCTGGCCGTACTCTCAATTGTCTTCATTGCTTTGACTTGGTTAGTACCAAATGTCATAGCAGCTGGTGTCTTCGTATCACTTGCTGGTGTATTTGTTGGACCCACCTACCCTTTGATGATTACAATTGCTGCAAAAGTCCTTCCAAGAAAAATTCAAGTTGTATCATTAACAATTATGACTGCATTTGGCTCATCTGGAGGCGCCCTCTTCCCATTCTTGGTCGGTTTAATCTCCCAATTTACGGGAACTTTCGTTGTTCACCCCATATTCATCGCTCTTTACCTGTTAATGTTATTTGTTTGGGTATGTTTGCCAAATATTGAAAGAAAAACGCCTCACATGAATATTTTCCAAAGATTTTGGTGAAGAGTTTTATGACCATTTTTATAGAATAATAGATTTTTGCAATATATATTAATGCACACTCATACAAATTGTGTATTCCGCAGTATAAGAGCAACCATTATACTCATGCTGCAGAGCCAACGCTGCCTACTTATTAATCAAGAGGAATTGCTTTATAATGCAGATCTATTTTCTGAGCCCTGATGAGTATGCACGAAGTCGTGTGCATATGCAGCGCATCTTATCGGACTTTCTTAAGCTTTCCCTAATATTAAAAAAGGTTAATTTTTCGGAATTATATAAGAAATAACATTTCTCTCAAGTTTTTTCTCTGATATATTTCTCTTGCTCTTCCTCAAAATAAAATTGTCAAAGGTAAGATGTTAGAGCCATCTGTTCTGGGGACACTGACCAATACGACTTCAAATGGAGAAAATTCAACAAATAGAAGAGGCAGCACTGCATCGAATGTTGAAAATCGAGATGAGCACGAGTTTGAAATTAACAACAATCCAGTAATGAAAAGAAGGCAGTCCTTGAGACCATCAGATAGAAACCAAAATGAAAGCATTGCTCCACTTCTGAATCAATATGACTCAATTGTACAAAATATACCTGAATCATTGCCAACAACTCCTGGTTATGAGATTAGTCACCAAATGTTTGAAAAGGGCTTTCAACAACAGAAAGACATTGGGCTCCCGGTTCAAAGACCAAACTTGTACAGAAAGGATACGAACTTACCTACGGATATTAGTTCTTGGGACAATTCTAATGAAATAAGAGATGCCATATCTAAAATTCCCACTCGGAGGACTTCGATTATACCAGAAGAAAGGATTAACTTAACTGGCGAAGATGATCTGTCAGTTGCGAGGACATTTGACTCAGGTATAATGACATTTAATAATCCACCCAAAAATCTATGGAGAGCCATTTCCTGCTTCTGTTGGTCCTTCACAGGAGGTTTCTCTGATGGTGCTCCGGGTGCGCTTTTACCTTACATTGAAGAGTACTATGGTATTTCATACTCCATTGTTTCCCTCATCTGGATGTCCAATGCCGTTGGGTTCATTCTAGTTGCACTCTTTTCACATAAAATCCAACAATGGTTTACTAAGAGAAACTCCATTTTATTGGGATGCTTATCTTCGTGCATCATGTTCGCCCTTGTACTGACAGGCTCCAAATTCCCACTCATTGTAACCGGGTTCTTCTTCGGTGGAATTGGTTTGGCTATTTGCCTTTCCCAAATGAACATTTTTCTTAGCAGGCTAGACAAAGCATCTACAGCATTAGGATACTACCATGGATCTTATGGTCTTGGTGCTTCCGTCTCTCCTTTAATTGCTACGCAGTTTATTAATAGAGGTATTCCATGGCATTACTTTTATCTTATTTTGCTCGGGTTAATGCTTTTTAACGCCGGAAATACGTACCATGCATTTGCAGGATCCACTACGGACTTGGCACCATGGGAACATGTCGACGAAGTAGCTCATGTTAAGGACGACCAAGAGCCTATTAATGCTTCTGGTCACGAAGAGACAGAAATTGGTTTGCAGGATCTTGGAAGAAGAGCTAGTAGGGTTTCCAACAGCTCAGAAAGAAAGCAAGCAAGAGAAATGGTGAAGGATGTTAAGCCGCAGACGGAAATGCATTTGGCTTTACAAAATCGTTTGACTTGGCTCATGTCATTTTTTGTGCTCTTCTATCAGGGTGCAGAGGTTTCTATGGGAGGATGGATTGTCACATATTTGCTTGATTATAGACATGGTAATTCAAAGACCGTTGGTTATGTCGCCTCAGGATTTTGGTTTGGTTTGACTCTTGGACGTCTTTTTCTCACGAGACCATTCCATAAATACGTTGGAGCTCGTAGGGGCATAATCTTAATGGCTGTTTTATCAATTATAGCAATTATATTAACTTGGGTTATTCCTAACGTAATAGCCGCAGGGGTATTCGTCTCAATAGCAGGGGTATTTATCGGCCCTACTTACCCATTAATGGTTACATTAGCTGCAAGAATATTACCTAGAAAAATTCAAGTGGTTTCTTTAACTATTATGACAGCCTTTGGGTCTTCAGGTGGAGCCATATTCCCTTTCTTGGTTGGTTTAATATCCCAATTTTCAGGACCTTTCGTTGTTTTACCAATTTTTATAGGGCTCTATACATCCATGCTCGTCCTTTGGATAGTCTTACCTAATGTCGAGGGAAGAGATAGAATTGGAGGTAAAATGTCACTTTGGCAAAGATTTTGGTAAAAGAATGCTTACAGATTAAGTAACTATTAAAGAAATTGTATATTTAAGCAAACCATATATGAAAGCAAAAAAAAACATATTGCAAGAGAGTCTAATGTTTTGATAACACATTCATATGAACTCTTATAATAGGTGAAAAAAAGAACTCATACAAGTCTATAATACCAATGGGCCACTATATCCACATATAAGTCATAGGCATACCTTTAAGCAATAGTACAGCCTTGGAGAAGGGTTGATCTGCTTGGCAAAGAAGTGAGGACGTAGTTGTCTTTGTCTTCTGATTGTTTGGTAGAAGAGTTGTTAGAGTTAGTGTTTTGAGCGGCCATTTTAACTGTTTAATATTTGTTTGAGGGATGAGTGAATGAATAATAAAACTGATTTTGATTTATAGAACTAGAGAGGGCTTTATATACTTTTACTGGGTGCAAATATTTTAGCTAGATATTTAATTGATATAGCGGCAGATGTCGCAGAATTCTTTCCTATTTAAGATTTTTAATAGCAGGCGCCGATGCATACGCATGTAATCAAAATTGAAAATTTACGAGCTATATATTAAAGAGAATTCACAATAGGTACATGTTTCATGTCATTTCCGTATATTGTACGTTTAGTTGAGCCCGTGTCGTCAAAGTAATTCCATGTTACACAACTCGGAGATGAATAACCTCCCTGGCCGATTGAGGCAGAATAGGCTGCAAAATATTAAAAAAAGTGGGACTGATAACACATACATATGTTGAAGGGAGGTCAATAGGGGTAGATGGAGGTTGTTTCATAAACGTAGATTGTACGATTACTTCCAGAAGCTACGCACAGATAGGGGCTCACCACGAATACCACTAATATCCCTCTTACTTTGCCAAGTCTGTCTGTCTGTCTGTCTATTCCCCCAGTCGAATAGAATAGTATAGAGGGGCTCCTGCATGAGAAGAATAGACCCTACGGAAAATCTCGCTAACTTTAATGTTCTCTCTAATTACACGCTATGTAAGCAAGATAGGATCTTTATCCCCTGTAGCAAGATTCTAGTTACTTGCACGCCTCAACTGACACCGGCATTCTTTTCATTCGGTATAATTCAATATAACGCTTTAACCAAGTAAATAGCTAACTTCGTTGGTTTGCTTTAGACGCAATTAATCTTTCGGGTCACTCTTCTGGTGTACTCGTGTACTCCCACAATGGCCACAAATGGATCAGTTATAGGTGATCTCTATAGAGATATTCATGAAGTTCCTTCTGAGACACAGCTAGAGCTACTCCCCATGGTAGAAAATGGATTGGATTCAACCAATTCCTGTCCGACTAATGTACCAGAAGGCACCGGCAATTCAACTGACGCCAATGATGAACGAGATTACTCAAACTTAGCACTTAAGATCTTAAACTCCAAACCTCAATACTACCCGCCGTTGAATTTTTCACTTGTTGAAGATGGTATATATAGATCGGGGTTCCCCATGCCTTTGAACTACCCATTTATAGAGCAGCTCGGATTAAAAACGATAATATACCTTGGAGATTTGGGATTGGAGAAAGTACTGAAGAAAGATGAGAAAGCCAAGAAGGAGAAAAAGGAAAAGAAAGACAAAGGAGATTACAAGGAAGAATCTGATAAGCCGAAAAAGGATAAGCTTGGAACGACAGAGATCTTAAAAGGCTATAAAGAATGGATAGCGACAACATCCATTGAGCTTCACCATTTGCCGATGGAGTCATCCCAGGAACCATTTGTTCAAACTCAAACGCAAGCACAAGATTCCCTTACCCATGCACTTCAGCTAATGTTAGATAAAAACAACTTTCCTATGCTCATTCACTCCAACAAGGGGAAGCACAGAATTGGAGTGTTGGTGGGTTTAATGAGGAAATTACTTCAGGGTTGGTGCTTGAGTGGGATCTTCGAGGAGTACGAGAAGTTTGCATTGGGGAAATCTGAATATGATTTAGAGTGTATAGAGATATGGCAGCCTGAATTGGTTGTAGATTTAAATAGTAAGCCGGACTTCGTTCGACTCTGAGGGGCCAGAACACTACCTAGAAACCTCATAAGGTTAATAAAACAAATACATAATGGATATATATATATCATACTTTACATTTCGTGTTGAACACATTCCTGGAGAACTTCATATTACTGATTCTTTCATAATTTTTCGATGTTCAAACGTTGCTTTCAACAGGTTTGTTCTCCTTGCTCTATTTAACTATTATTCTTCAATTCTCTCAACTTGTCCATGATGTCACTCTCGCTAGTTAACCCACCAACAGCTTTCAATACCTGTGGGTCGTTGAGTCTCATGAATGGATTGAATTTCAATTCATCTGCAATGGTGAAAACACCCGTGGTCTTTTCATTTGCATCAACGTATGCCTGCAACTCGGCGATGGAATCGTTAGATAAAACCTTCCTGGAGAACTTCACGTTGGATTTAGTATATTCGTGGCCAGGGTATGTTTTAGTATCACCAGGTAACTTCCCCAATATTCCATTCAACGCCTTGTTCATTTCAGCCCCAGTACCCTCGAAAAATCTACCACATCCACTCACAAACAACGTATCACCGGTAAACACCGCTCTCTCCTTCGACTTCAGGTCTGTCACGTAATAACAGATAGAATCTTGGGTATGGCAGGGCGTGTGTAAGGCCGTTATAGATAATCTGTCACCCAAATCAATGACTTCCTCATGGGAAGGTGTGTAAGTCACTAAATCCAGATCCTTACCACCAATGACAGGCAAGTCTGGGAACTTTTTGTGGAACAGCTTATTGCCACCAGCGTGGTCGTAGTGGTGGTGTGTATTCACAATTGCCTTTAACTCATAGTCATTCTTAATTTGGTCAAGGTAGCTTGACACTTCTTCAGGCTCTGCAGGGTCAATGAGCCAAGCATGTTTAGTTGGAGTGTCAATGAGCAAATAGGCGTAGTTATCTCCAGTTCCCCATCTCATGGGAATTGACTTAATGTGCATGGTCCTTATTGATCTTATTGCTTGGCTAAAAAACATAAAACGACTGGAAACTCGTGTAAAAAAAAAAACAAGCTGGAATAAATGGAGAATTGGCCGCAAATCACTTAACAACTTGGAACCAAGAGCTTTATATGCTTATTACTAATAACCAGGCTCCCATTGGAATTGTGGAGTTCGATTTATTTTTTACCTAAATCGTTTCCAGCGTTAGCGGCGCGTACTGGTTTGGTAAGAGGTCACATGACTGAAGTATAAGAATAGCGTAGAGAGAGAGGCGGTGAAGAAGTTAGGTCTATGCTGGACTCAGCGGGGTGCGAAGAGCTGCTCCATATTACATGATCCCGAGAGGATACATCCAAGCTACCAGTAAGGCAATTATGATGTTTTTCGTGCACTAGTTGTTGTGGTTGAGCTTGTAGCTGGTTCCTCAGTGGGTTGCGAAATTGGCACTCCAGTTCGCTTGGTTAGGAGCACAAAAGGTCTGGCTTTGTAGGTTTCCGGAAGGTCCCTGATAAGGAGGGTGGAGCACCGCGGCGATAACGGGGTTCCAATAGTTGAAGTGAATAGACCCTAGTCAAACATAACAGAAAAAGAAATAGTAAAAGGTGGCTGATATTAAGTGGGACGATAGGGTGCAACTCATTCAGCAATCTACAGCTCAGGTCTCCCTTTCGGGCAGGCAGGATGGTACAAAATAATAATTTTTCCATTGACTAACATCTACCCTGAGCAAATATAGGCTCTGCTCTCGTTGTCGAATTATGGCTCAACTTTTGTTACTTTTGATTCTTACTTTGCTCTCCCCATTTCTTTGCAACCATTCCCTCGGGAGGACTTGTTTCAAACTTCTTATCCTTTGCTTCACTCCAATTTGTGGTCAAAACCGTTCCATTGGACTCTACATAAGATTTCATCATCGCTCTTCTTGTATCTTCATCGTTATCCTTGTAAAGTTTTGCGAAGAAATCGTTTTCTGATGAATCTTCAGCTTCATCTTCTGCAACCTTAAAATTGGACCAATTCACAGCTTTCTTAGAAGAGGTAGGGTAAACAGAAGCAGCAGACCCAGAATTAGCCTGCAGCATGATTGTAGGATTAGTCAAGGTAGCAGCCGATTCAGATTGTTCAAGAGATGACCACTTAATTGGCTGTTCTTTTCTTAAACTTATCTCCAATTTGGTACCATAAACTTTATATTTGCTTTCCTTTGGATCTATCTTGCCGTACAATGGGTCAAGGTTGTAGTTATACTCGGAGTTGTCTCCACTTGGGAAAGATATCGAGACAGAACTAGAAGAAAAGTCAATCTTTAGCTGATCTTCTCTTATGTTCTTAGCGAAGATTGTTATTATCACGTCATTAGAAGACTGGTACCAGTCATCTCTGATTTTAATCTTGAGTGGGGCATGCTTATTAATCGTGTCAATGTGACTCGATGGCTCCAATTGAGATGGGGCAGAGTTTCCTTGTACTTGAGGAGCTTCAGTTCTTGCTGTATTATCGCTAGAAGCTTCAGCTTTACTCTTTAATTTATCAACATCATACTTTGCCTTTACTAACCAAGTCTCAAGAGTCGCATCATGGCAATCATACTCCTTTGCCTTTTCAAAATTCTCCAATGCAAGTGCAACTTTCTTTTCTGCATAATGAACCATTCCAAGTTTGAAATACGTTAATCCCATATCTGATCTCTTACCACGATCAAGCGCAACTTGCAATGCATCTGTAAGGTCCTTCTTGGCTTCGTTGAAGTTCTTTAACCTTTGGAATGCAGTCGCACGCTTTAGTAAAGCTTGGAAAGCTTTTGGGTTTTCCTCTAGCGCACTATTAAACAAGGAGATTGCGGTATCGTAGTCTTTGTCGAGAAGAGCTTCATCTCCCTTCTTAGTTAGTTGGTCAACTGCCATACCTATGACTCGGTTGAATGCAATGGAGGGTCGTTAAGTGTGCCATCTAAGGCCACAGAAACCGAGATCAAATTTCAACGGAGATCGGAAGTTTCAGATTGAAGATTGGTCACGTGATTCGATAGGCTGAAGGCTTGTTGATTTAAACCACAGTTGGCTGACTAAGGGAATGCAATACGAAGAAAGGAATATAATAATGGCTAAAAAAGATTTCTGACATATAACGATAGCCCTGGTAGGCTGTTTAGTATTTCTATTTAAGTCACATTAGGCGTCCTAGTTCTAAAAGAATGCCTCAAAGTGCAGCTTACGCTCAGTGCATAAAAGAGATTAGGTTGCAACTTAGCATTCAAAGCAGCGGTGTCACCAAGTAACTCCCAAGATACTATTCTGTTTACATTGGGATACTTTAAATTGCACAGTTGTCTATTTTAGGACTGCTAACTTTCCGTTGCATAGGAGTCCACTTTTCACTCATTACATCATAGTGTGGAGTTGAGAGTTTGGGTCCTCCCATCCTCATACACCGAAACACCCACACACCCACACACACGCTCTCTCTCTCTCTCTCTCTCTCACTACATAAGCGATTACACACATCAAAAGGAAGCCAGTCAAACTGCAACAGTTCACCTCAAGCTATGACATAAAAATAGATCATATGTAAACATATCCGTTGCTTTTTTTTCCACCCTCGTAATGAAGTATTACGTAAGGAATAGATAAGAGGAAATTTAGAGTTCGAGCCCGTCAGACGTTTCCACAACAGGCATCCACGGAATATTTTGATTGCCGTTTTTTTCTTTTTCTCTCTACCATATGCCCATGCCATATTCAAGGTTACGTAATTTAAGTTTCAGCTTGACTACGACAAAATCTCGCACACAATCTGTATCCAGCTCAAAAGTTACATGCCAATCAACGACCAACCCTTGTTGGAACAGTGGCGACTCCTCGATATTTTGATCATTTCTTTCTGAGTCTCCTTACTCATCTTCATTGCTATTCCCTTGTAGTCATCGCTTTGCGCCATTAGGGTAAAGGTCATATTTCATTACCGTAGTCACGTGTACAAATCATTCAATATCACTCTACATTGCCTATTTTTTTTCCTTCTTTTTTCTATTTATTTTTTGATTTTCCAAAAGGATCCAAAGAAAATAAAAATAAATTACAAATCGAAAAAGAAAAACTATATAAACCAAGCAAGTGTAGAAGGGGAATCCAGAAATCAAGAATCGAACGATTAGTAATTGAAGGAAGAATCATATAGAAGAAGAAGAAGAAGAAGAAGTAGTAGACGAAGTAGAAAGTAGTTTCTGTTACTGCACTAGTTAGAGTAATTCCAAGCAATTTCTTACCCACTACCTGCTTTTCCCTTACTCCCTAATTATAAGCCAGTGCGTGAGAACCAAAATTTGACACTAATTAGTTCAGAAATTACAAAAGGAGCCGGATTTGCGTTAATTTTAATAGATATTCCAATTTTTTGCAAGTAAAGGGCGAACTAACGTGCACTCAATGTCATCGAAGTCTAAATCACCACCTCCGGACACTGCTGGAGTTGATATCCCACCGTCGGTGCTAGCAATATCGAATCTTAAGTGCCCTTCACCACCCCCAATTTTAAATAAGCCAGGATTTAAATCTCCACCTCCTCAGCCACTTGATGAGGCAGGATCTCCAGCCCCAGGTGCACCATCTAACCGTGAAAGAATTCCTGCTGGAGGTGCTATACTAAGCAAGAAAGAAAAGCTTGCACAAGGTACAACATCACCAGCTTCTGTGGTTGAGCCGGACACTGTCACGGAGAACCACGTCAAGCTTATTACAACTGCTCCTACACAGTCCGAATTGGATTTTGTAGCAAACCCTCCAGAGAATAGTAACCACCATAAAGTGCCCTCCGTCCACGCGCATTTCTATGCTGATGAATTGACAAAGCCCTTGAAAAGCAGATCGAGGAGCGGCTCGTCAGCTGCTGCCTCTGATGCTGGCCTGGGTTCAGAACAGTTCTTGGCTAACAATGGCTCAGTAACCAACTTTGGAATGGCTGCTGCAACAGCCAACAACCAAACAATTGCAGGAGCCCTTGGAGAACAAAACGGCAACATCGATCCAAGACTCCCTACTGACGATGGAAAATTGCATGTACTTATTGGAGTCTGTGGTGCTCTCTCCGTCATCAAGGTAAAGTTAATAGTTCATAAGCTTTTCGAAATTTACACACAAGATAAAATATCTATTCAATTAATTCTTACTGAAGCCAGTGAGAATTTCATCCCACAGGAGATACTACACCACTTGGAAAACACCAAGAAGATTAGAATTTGGAGAGATTCAGACGAATGGACAACTTGGAAAACAAGACTGGATCCTGTATTGCACATAGAGCTTCGTCGTTGGGCCGATGTATTAGTTGTATGTCCATTGACAGCCAATACTCTTTCAAAGATATCACTCGGTATGTGTGATAACTTACTTACCAACGTAATAAGAGCATGGAACACATCGTATCCCATTTTGTTGGCTCCGTCTATGGTCAGTTACTCATACAATGCCATCACTACAAAGAGACAGATACGGTTGATCTCTGAAGAAATGCCTTGGATAGAAATCCTTAAACCTGTAGAAAAGGTGATAGGATCGTATGGTGACATTGGTATGGGGGGTATGATGGATTGGAATGAAATTGTCAATAGAATTGTCATGAAGTTGGGTGGATATCCAGAGGAAGAAGATGATGACGATGAGTCGAAAAACAACAACGATGATGCCATCGCGGATGACGACAACGATGATGATGATGAAGATGACGATGACGATGATGAAGATGACGATGACGATGATGAAGATGAGGATGCAGCAGATGAGGATGCAGCAGATGATGAAAGTAATCAGGGTGTTCCCAGCATTTCTCAGGAACTTGATAGTCTTAAATTCACTTAGGAAATGTAATGATAATGTATAGTATGTATAACATGAAGTAATAATAAATTACACAGGATTAAATAATAGACAAAATTGTTTATAAGATACTTTCTTATTTTACAGATGTATTCTAGGTAGTTGGCTATTAATTCTATATTTTAATCTACGCTGTTCAACTGCTTAATCCTCTCGTTTCTCCAGGTTTGATATTCATCTGCTACGATAGTAGATGAATCAAACGTAGAATTATCATTGAAAGTGGAAGATGTCACTCTCGACTTTACACCTGTTGGTGCAGCTGGTGCTCCATTGATATATTCTGATATTTTGATGGGAGAAAGCGAGTACTTCGTGCAAAATGAATTTTCTTTATTGTCACCATCTATACTTTTAGCAGGAGATATACTATATCTACTACTGAAGCTTGATTTAAACGGAGAAAATCTTGAAGTACTTGATGTAGACGAAGTGTCAGCTGCCCTTGACATGTTATTGTTTGCCATAAGTGGAGTATTAAGTGGTCTTAAGGCGTTTGAGGATGCAAACTTATACGGCGAAATGGAAGTAGTTGGGCTAGTGTTGATACCTATTCCAATGCTGCTGTTCAATTTACTGATCGGTTTTAAGTTCCCGTTGTTTACGGGTCTGGCAAAGGAGGAGCCAGATGAAGAGGAAGTTGAAGTAGACGATGCACTCGACAGTTGCCTCGCTGCCATAGTTGGAGATCTCAATCTTGAAGCACTAGCCTTTGAGACTTTATTTTTAAGGTTAGGAGGTTGTGAAGGTCTACTCGTCGCTACCTTTGGCTTGACATTGTTCCTGGATACTTTGCTTTGCATCTGCTCCGATTCAATCAATATAATTTTCTCAAAGAAGTCATAGCCATAAATAGTAATAGGCTTCTTGTCCATGTTCAATTGTTCATTGTTAAATTCAATCACCTGTTGCTTCAATTGCTTCAATATTGTTGGAAGGCCTTTATTGATTTTCTTTCTGAGCTTCTCTTCGTTAAGCAATATTTTGCAGGAATTTTTGCTAAGCAATCTGGAGGAATCCTTAGAGGACTCTCTAAGGAAGTTCTGATCCTTGAGCAATTCATTCAACTGAGAATACAAGTCAAGAATATGGCCCTTCAGCTCCAATTCAAGCTTCAAGTTCTTCAATTCGATTTCATGTTCGTGAAGGATTGACTCTTTGTCAGAAACAATCGATGACGCAGATGAAGTGCTCGGATGATAGCCATAGTACTTGAATTGTTCTCTTTGAGGTTGACTGTAGTACAACTTTGTCCATAGATCTTCTATCTCCGCTTTCGAGTCCAAAATAAAGGTTTCTATGAACTCTGATCTTTTTAAAAACAATCTATTCAACTCTGATTTTAAGTTCAGCAACGCTTGATCCGTTAACAGGGAGTTTATTGAGAGAAATTCATCCACATACTCTGAGTTTTCACCCAACTTCTCCCAAAGAGTCAGACAAGAGGAAAAATAGTGATCCCATTTCTTTTGCTTGGTCTCTTTGATTTTGTATAATACGTCTGCGAAACCACTGAGGTACTGAATGTGATCATCACTGAGACCAAATTCTCTTGGATTGCTTTGAATAAACTGAAGGGTTTCCTTATCAAGGAGATATGAACCATTGCTCAGAGTGTTATAATTGTTACTGTATTGGCTAAGATTCCGGTTCTTATTGTCGTCGTATCTTCTCTGCACAGATGCCAATTGGTCCTCATTGAGCTGCAACGCTTGGATCAACTCGAAGGATCTTTGAATTGTCTCGTGCATGGCCAGCATGCGTGAGCTCAATTCCTTGTCACAGAATTCGATTTCCAGTTGTAAAGTTGAAAACACATCCTGCGTTATTTTGGTGATTTTGAGACTTCGTATCACTCTTACGATCTTATAATTAACTTCACGAAGCGATTTCATAAGTTCACTGGGTGTACTGAAATACAGATCATTGAGTAAATCCTTATGTATTTCTGATTCCTGCTTTTGTATCTTTTCAGTGTCTTTCCTTGGACTTGATATTATGTATGCTGTGTCTTCCTCGCCATTACCGAGTATCTGTATATCTCCTTGGCCCCTTGCTTCTTTCAAAGGGGTTGTCGAACCTCCACCAGCAGTTAAAAGTCGCACTATAGACTCAAACCTCTCTATCATTTCTCTATAACTTTCACTTTCTTCCTTATTGGGTAAATTGGATAACCACAGTTCACTCACACCGGGAGAGTGAACCTCATTTCCAATGCTATCCAAGATTTCTAGCCTTAATAAATTGGCTTCAATGAATCTCTTGAACACCTCCACAAATCTTTTCAAAACGTCAAGGAAAATGGAGTTTAACTTACTCTTCAATTGTAAAAGGCTGAGTTCCGGTATCACCATATCGTTTCCTGAGAAAAGATCTTCCTCTTCGTCGTTTATGTTGGTATCAATTTGGATTTGGCTCACGTTAAACGGACTACTAGCATAGAAATTAGTCTGTCTTTTCATCTCAGCGCTGGAGGCGTTATATAACTCTTCTTTATAGCCACGCTCGTACATCTCTCTATTATTGAAGATCAAGCCTCTATTTACCAAGCTTAGCAAGTTATCTCCCGAATTGTCACCAATCATTGCCAATATTATGCGAATCTGTTGTCTCAACCACTCACATTCATTCTCGATGTTGCTCTTCTCTCTCTGTAAGTTGCTTGTGAAATTGGTTATAGTATCCTGAATAACACTGAAGATTTCTGACTTCTTGATAGAAGTTTCAGTGGATGAGTAACCAATCTGATTATATATAAGGCAAAGTTCTTTGATCGTGTGATTCACATTGTCTGCTATCTTATCGAACTGCGTACTGTTGGATGTATTGAAGTACGTTGAGTTGTTTTGCATATGCTTCTCCTTTTCCTCTTCATTCTGTAATGTAGATTCTTCCATCAGGTCAATTCTCTGGTATTCATTACTTACAGTATCATACACCTTCCCGATTTGATGTGAAGATGTAGATCCTTTTTTGGAGGGTGTCGAAACCTGAGTATCCTGATTCAAATCTCTTCCCGTAATACTCATGAAACTCATGGGGAAAAAAACTTGAAGAATATGACAAGAGACTACCTTGATGGGTTGGTCAGCTCTTGAATCTGAGTGATGGGTTAATGTATGTAAGTACGGTCTTAGCTAGGCTCTTCTTTTTTTTTTTCTCTGGCTTTTTTTCTGACCCTTTACATCATTAGTTGAGTGTCTACCTTCGTTCTAAGAATCCTAGTGTACATAATAAAAACATTGAAATTATTCCGAATGCGGACAAAACGTAAACAGTCGATGCGATGATCGAGAGAAGTCGCACGTGACTTAATGTATCTACTTGGACTAAACAGTTGTATGGCTCCTGCTAACTATAATACATTTCGTTACTATGTACATATCTCTATATAATTCGTTCTCATTAATGGTGGGTATATCTTTTCTTTCCTTTTTTTTCAGCTTTCCTTATTTAGCTTCATTGTTTTCTTTCGACTGTTGTGACACTTGGTACAATAGAGTTGATAATTCATCTGCTAGGTTTGTATCCTCTCTATGTCTCTTTTCTCCCACTGGGTATACCTCATTAGCTCCAATGAGCTCAACTGATATCTCATCCTCTTCACTTTCTTTACTTTCGATAAACCGAAATGGATCCTGCATGACTTTCTTATACTCTTCCTTTTTTAACCGGTTTCTCTTTATTCCCATTTTTCTATATACAAATCCATTTACATCCCAATTCAACTCCCTTGCAATTTTGAATATCTCCTTCAGTTGCGAGGAATTTGCCTTAATTCCATCGCCTGTTAGTTGGTTATACCACAATTCTGCTCTACTGTGCTCGTGTCTCGAATAATGGTACTTGATAAATGAGTAGACTTGGTTGAAGGTGAATGGCAACCCAAACGCTCTAGATTTTTGAACCATTTTAAAGGCAAATTGATAATCTTGGTGGACATTCAAAGCAGAGTATACCAATGTGTCGTACAAATGTATAGAACGATGCTTTCTACTAACATTGAAATCGTTAGAGTGAAAGTCTTCCATTATATGTTTAGCAATCTGATAATTGGCTGCACCTGAAGTAAAGTTCATGCCATATCCCTCGGGGTTTACTTTCAATAAGTATTTAACAAAGTTGGCTAGAACATCTTCGGACAATGGGTCTAACTTTTTGAAATGTATGATATACAGTGTATAAAGCGATTCAACAAATCTAGCGAAAGATTCTATTCCAACAGGGTCAGATTCGAATTGTGATCTCAATATTGTTCCATAGAGAATCTTCACGGTCGTGGAACTTAATCGATGAGTCAAAGAAGAAAGTTTCTGGTCGACGTTTGCTTTTTGAATGGTACTTGTCCAATTTTCCAAGTCCCTTCCTCCTGGCAAACTTCCATATATTGGCTGTAACACTCCCAAAAGGTCAAGCTGTTTTATTATTCGGTCGTAAAATGCAACAATATATCCCAAGAGTACCTTGGGTTGATCGGGAAATTTTTCGCTAATCAAGAGCAAAATCTCTTCCACTATCTTTAGTTTATCTTTCCGAGCCAAGTTGTCCAAGTTTATATTATTTAACATAACTAACGATTCCTCATGATATCCATGTTCTCTCAAATTGCGTAATATAGCCAACAAAGTTTCAATGGAGACATTCAATTGGTTATCAAGCATATATTTCAAGACTTTAACACAATATTCAGACCCCTTAAATGTCATAATATGGTTTAACAATACAAACAACACAGTTTGTATATCTTCAGAAATTGTTGATGAGATCAATGTCTTTCTTTCATTCCCCAGTTTCTGCTGAGTAACCTCATCTGTACAGTTCATTTCGAATTTTTCAACCACTAGATTTAAATACAAATTCGATTCAATGATCTCTTTACTTCTAATACTGTTCATCGCATTGGCAGCAAGTTCCTTTAGAGTGAAGAAGTTGTGCATTCTTCTTTTGTGGCTGTCATCGATTCCAGAGTAATGAATATCGTGCCATTTAGCGTTCCTAACTCCTGTACGAACAATGAATTTTTCTAAATTAGACCCCATTATAAGTGCATGCTTTAATGGATTTAGTAATGAAGAATTGAAAGGCTGAATGTTAATATGTACAAGGCATGCAAAAAATTGACCGTACGAGGATCTGGGAATGATGGAAAAGATTTCTTGGTACAATTTATCGGGAATTAAGATTTGATGGTGGTTGACATTGGGTATTGATGCAAGAGTGTCCAAGTACTTTAAGAGTAGACTAGACAAAGATTCTTCGCCCTCTTTACCTTCGTTTGCCCCAGTATTACTTTTGAAAATGAAGTTTATCGATTCGATCAAATCCCATTTGATGGACTGGTGATCGTTAGATATGGATTTCAATATTGACCTCTTGATCGAATTATCGGTGTAGAGTCCCATTAGGCCCTCTACGACAATCCCTCTCATGGGTTCATCTTTTATGCTGTTTAACATATGATACGCCTTACGGGTATCACTTATAAGTAAATCATTTAAGATCTGGGTTAGATTGTATGCAAATAAGTCTACCTCAGAAATCGACTTATATGGAATCTGGATCAAGTGAAGAAACTCATACTTGGTCAAATTCGAGATTTCATCTTTGTTCATGCAAAAAATAGGATTGGGGAAAGTATCCAAAGGTATTCGGTCCAATTCATATGACTCTTTCTTGGAGTTGTGGGATGTAAAAAGCGCCAGCTTGATTGATGGCCTCGCTGCACTTTGAATTTCAGAAGAGGTACTTGTACTATAGGATAAACATTCTTGATAGTTGTTCCATTTCACTCCATGAAAGTTCCCAAGAACGCCACTTCTTCGTATTATAGGTCGTACGTGGCCCCTTTCAAGCGATATAAGCCTAAGCATTGTAATGCTATACCTTATCTCTTCTCGATGGTTCCTTCTGTGGACCATTTTCTTTTCTCATACAATTTTTTTTTTCACCTACTCAAAAAGTTCGCCTGGAAATTTTGCTAGAGTCAGAGCGATCGTACAGGTAGAATGGATACACTGCAACCACCGCTGTTACATTCAGGGAATATTATATCATGTGGTTATCTTTATATTAATATATACTCTAGTCTAAGGATAAATAAAAATAAATAAGCGGCGTACTAAGAGGAAGGATTCTGTGCTTACTGTGTATGGCATATGCCCTGCCACTGTTAATTTTTGAGAGAGATATGCAACACTTTCAGTTCTTTCATTTCCTTTCGTACCCTTTCTTTGCCTTTGTTTCCTATCGTTTCCTATTTCCTGATCCATTCTTTCATTTTCGATCCAGTCATTTGAACATCTCTGTTTACCTATCTTGGTACCAAGTCTCCTCTTCGAGCTCCATCTCAAGAGTGTTCCGCCCATTGAACCTGTACAAGTAACGCTGGTAAAAATAGGCCACATCGAACAAAATGGTACCAGAACTTCCTAGAATGTAGGGCAATTCCTTCATGATGAAAGTCGACTTGGTATCGGAAAATAAAAATGAGCAGCTCGTAACGATTGAAAGAGTGTAGGTTAAGTTCCCAAGAAGAGCGGACCCAAAGAGAAGAGGAGATATTCCGTCAACAGACTTTCTCTGATAGTTTTTGTATAGTTGAGGGCAACGGGATGCCACGTAAACGCAAGTACATGACCATGCAAGTATGAATCCAAGGGTCTCCCTTGAAAATAATGAGGAACTTGGTGCCGTCGATGAAATGTCTCCAATGGGGAACGCATTTGCTGAAGTGATGTTCAAAGCAGTGGCAGCGACAGCCAATCCCACTCTAGAGCTCTTCTTACTGGGCGAATTTGACGTTGAGCTGTAGCTTCCATCAGGGGACCCAGAAGAGGAAAGGAAATCAGTGATCGGGTTGTCCTTGTTGGACTCGCCCCTGGTAGTGTTACCGTCGTGTTTCGTATTATGGATATGAATCGACTGAGTCGTATAGGGACTAGTGTCAGTGGATTGGTTGTAGTCGCTACCTCTAAGCTCAACATCTACAATCGCACTGTGATCCTCCTGCGGTATCCTAACATGCTTCTTAGGGTATACGCTGTTGTAGTAATAATACTGGTAGCACAATGTTATATCATTGCATATGAAGAATAAACTAAGGTATACTTGGAACTTCAAGACCACATCGTTCAACAAGCAGCTAGTGAAACTTAAGAAGTCTCCCATAAACCAAAGTAAAAGGAACAGTGGGGATATTCCTTCTGCTGATTTTGTTGTGTAGTTGGTATAGATCTGGGGAAGTTGTGCGCATATCCAGCTTAGCAAAGAAAGCGTACTAAATATGTTCGACACCACCGATATTTGCTCACAGGTGGTCATAGCGTGACGAAAGTGTGAGAAAGGATGAAGTATATGGCGCAAGAAGGCGAAGAAATGGAACTGAAAACAAGAACACGAAGAAGAAGAAGAAGAAGAGTGAATGATAACGATTGACCTTCAGATAACAACGTCGCGCTACCTAGCACTAGAAAATATTACCGTGATAATCACACTGCATACGGACTAGTTGTCCCCCGCATAATCTTGCGGCACAATCATAGGCACACCTAACCTCGAGATGACCACTGAACAGGGTCAGTAGGTAGACAGTCTAACTACAGGGACGCTATACCAAACAACATATTCTAGTATGTTATTGCAAGGTTTCGTGTTCGTGCTTGTGTATTATTATTATATTGGTGGGCCATATTTGATCCCGGACTCTATGTTTCATTTTAGAATAGCCATAGTGCTTTCTTCATTTTTTTTTTTTTAATTTTATCTTTTTTTTTTTTTTTTGGTAAATATTTACTATGCAACATGGTTGCGTAGGTGATACGGTTCCCTATAGAATCTAAGTTGCCGGAGTGTCATTCAAACACCACTTTTCTTAGGTTGGTCGACTTTGTAGAGAGTATTCAAAAATGCAACAATAAGCCTGTCAGCGACTCCAGCGGTTTGAACGGATCCTGCAACTCCATAAAGTGCCCCCAATTCACTCTTGGGTTTCTTTGACTCTTTCTCAGGCTGCGATTGAGCTTCTTTGACTTTTTCATCGACAGTCTGCTCCAAATCTCTGATTAACTCATCTATGATAGGAACCGTCAATCTTGTAAGTGCAAAATGTAAGGCTGCTGGCAGTTGTAAGGTTGAAAAATGCCATCCTTTCTTGGTTAAGCTGTCTCCAAGTTCATATATGTCAAGAACTTTGGCGAACTTGTCAGTTATTTTAAACGCAACAACTGATCCGATTGGATCTCCAATCACTTCCAATGCAAGTATCTTCTCCGTAATAGTGCGTTTTAATTTCATTGAAGCTTGAACTATCTCGAAACAAGATTTCTTATATCCCTCTTCTCCAATTGTCACAAGGGTGGCCCAGCATCCCGCCATAATCGCACCAGGCCTTGATCCAGCCAACGTAGGGGATCCGTACATCCCACCCGTCCAATCTGTCAGTATGTAATATTGACACTCGCGAAGCTTCAGGGAACGGTACATTATAATTGATGAACCCTTAGGAGCAAACCCGTACTTGTGGGTGTCACAAGAAATTGATGTAACTCCAGGGACTCTGAAGTCGAACTTAGGAATTTTTGTATCTTTGCCATGGACTCCAGACTTTTCAAGAAATGAGACAATGAAAGAACCTAAGCATGCATCCACGTGTAAGGGGATATTGTACTTAGTGGCCAATTTACCCAATCCTTCAATGTCATCAATAATACCATGAGGAAAATTTGGAGCAGAACCTACTAATAGGACAGTATTTCTGTTAATTAATCTCTTAACTGTAGACAAGTTCACCTTGTAAGTAACTGGGTCCAATTCAACCTTGTGCAACTTCATTCCAAAATAGTAGCATGCTTTTTCTATACCAGCGTGAATAGTGACAGGGGCAATAATCTCTGGGGTACCAGTTACCCCACCATATTTGCGGCCGTATTGTCTTGCAGCTAATCCTGTCAAAAGCAAAGATTCAGTTCCGCCAGATGTGGTACACCCACATGACTCTTCAGGACCGTTAAAAATCTTCAAAACCATAGATACAACTTCAGCTTCCATTTTTCTAACTCCAGGGAAAACATCTGGGTGCAATTGATTAGCTACAGAGTTTTTATGATAAGCTTCAGTTTGAAGTTCCAAAAGAGAGTCCCCACCATGATAAACTGCACCTGAAACTCTTCCGTTTGCCCAATCAGTCCCTTTAAGTGAATTATGAAGAGAATCAAGTTGCGCAGTCACCTCTTGGTGAGAGAGTCCCGATGCCGGTAATTGCAGGAATTGGATGAGTTCGCTGGAATTCTGCATTAATTCTTCCTCTATCTTTAAGGTAGTTGCGCCAACTTCCAAGTCAACTTTCTTCTTTAAGGGTGGCAAAGATAGTATAAATTTAAAAAGCCTACTGCCAATGCGATGCTTAGCCAATTGAAGCGATCTGACTACACCATAACCATAGACAAGACTGACCAAACCGTACACATATGAAAGTAATCGCAACAATATCACTAATGTGCAAAGTTGAGTGATAGCATTATAAGGTGTCAACTCGTGGTACCAATTTTTACAATATACTTGAGCAACAAAAGTCAATTGAGTGAAGCTTGTTGGCATGAAAGGTTGACCAAAGAATTTGGATTGCAAGTAAGCCTGTGTATCGAAATCCATACTGAAATGTACAACAATTTATCAATCACTTTTGTAGATTACTAATTCGAATTAACTTACAGTCTTACAGTATAGTATATATATAGTATGCCAGGATCACTATTGCAGATTTCTCAATCCTTTCTTTTGAACCTGTGGCATGTATATATGAATTGGTTTATAGGGGCGCAACAATATCTTCTCATTTATTTTGCATGGATATACGAAAAAAATATCTCCGAATGAAGCGTAGTGCGTCAATTAGGCTTCTGGGGACGGTACTGTAGCACATAGATTTGTACGAAGATGAACTAGGAAAAGGTAATTCTGTCGCAGCAAGAGTTCTACTGAATGAAAAGTATTGCTTGGTTCGAACCTACAGCAAAATGGAGGTAAAATTACTAAATGTATACTATTATTTGGTTTAAGTCTACCAGTAGCATAGATAAATGAATTTTTCAGTGCATCTGATGCATTGAGAATTTGGTGATCACTTTATGGCGTACTACGGGACGGACCTGCTCGAAATGTGTTCTCTCTTTAGTATTGTAAAGTCTTTAATTTGTTAGTACCTTAATTGGCGTGCTATTGGTGTGTGAATAATTCTTAGAATGGCGTAGATGCTCTACTTAGTCTTGCACCTCTACTGCTGGAACCAGCTCCAGTACTTTCCATGGTAGTTTGTCTCTCTTTGATGATCTTGTTCAACTTTTCAGACAATAGAGCCTCAATAAACTCATTCTCTTTCTTCAACTTGCTTAATTCAAATTCGTAGCCTATAAGTTCATCTTTTCTTAACAAATCTGGTAATACCTTACTTCCTGGTCCATTTAATTTTTGTTTGTATTTGCTGTTCACTTCTTTAAGTTTGTCAAGCTTCCAAGACTCTTGTACCGCAGCACTGGAACTATCCTGGTAGAGTTTACGGACTTTTTCATTCTCTTCGTTTAGCTTCGATAGCTCCTCGTTAACTGAACCCAATTTGGAGCGAAGTTCATCGATGGTTGCAAATTGCGAATTGATCAAAATATCTACTGATGGCTCAGCTGCAAGAGATAAAGTGACTGGAGTCTCCTCTGCTTTGTCCACCTTAATCATTAAAATCTCCTTCAAATGAGAAATTCTTGACTGAAGAATACTTTCTTTATTGGACAATTTATTATAGTCGCCATCCACCTTCACAACCTTCTTTTCGCTAGACAATGCTTCTTCATTGCACTTTTGAAGCTCTTTATATCTTTCTCCAATTTGTATGTTATCCTGATCAATCTCCTGTTGGATTTTTGTCTCCCTCTGTCTAAGATTTTCTATGGTGAGATTAAACTTGTCCTTGATTGAACTATCAATGGTTGCAACTCTTTCGATTAACACCTTCGCGAAATGTCTTTTGAAAGACTTGTAGTCAACAGTTTTTGAATTGAAGATGGTTTCACTTTCTATTTTGACTTGCTTAGAATCTTCTTCGCTCGCAATTGGTCCAAAATCAAATAAAAAATTTTCCTTCAACCTCAATTGAAGGATATTGGAATGGAAAGAAGTAGATAATGATCTTCCTGTCACCTCCTTGATCATCGAATCTAGATTGGTACTCAAAGGAAAGTTCACAGTGCTCCAATTGTTAAACCAGCCAAACATTTTACTCATATTGTTTCCATAGCATCGCACGTAAAAATCATCCTCTTCATCATCATGGTTATAAAGTTGAAACCTGTTTACAACAAAGGCGTTAATTACTTGCAATTTCCATTTAACGTATGGATTGTCTAATTCATTTCTACTGCTACTACCATGCGTATGGAAAGATAAATTAGTGGGTGGCGGTGGGTTATTCAATATGCAATGTTCAATTGATAAGCCTGGGATTGGCATAACAATTGGTGTCTTGATTATAGGTCCATTGAGCGAGCTGTTACTCGAAGAGGTTCTTAGAAAATCGACACTAGGAGACTTGGCATCAAGGGAGACATCAAATGAAACTATAAGATCCATCGATGTGTCAAATGAATAGTTATAAAGTTGCTGTGTTGTAATCAAAAAAAGGCAAAGATTTGAATCTTCAGTTGGAAATAAGACGTTATTGAAGGGTTGGCTGGAGCGCTTGTACGTTTTTTGACGTTTTCTGTGTCCATCCAAGCTGTCCCCACCTCCCGAGCTAATTTTGTCGTCAACACCTTCTACGATCGAAGGGTTATGAATATTGATACTGGCACTAGCTAAATTTCGATCTTGGTTCCCCTTCTGGTTGAACTTGGGCATTTCTCTGTTATCTTCATAAAGCTTACCGCTACTCATGTTTTTGTAGCGTAATTTCTTACCTATTATTAATCCTTCGATTAACTCTAATTCTTTCACACTCAGAGCAACAACTAACATATGATATCCATTATTGATGTTGTCTTCTCCCGCTTGCAATGGATATCTGTCAATAAATGAGTCCACAATACGGTTAAACAATTGAAACTTTCCCAGAACGTTCAACATTCTTTCGTTTACGTCCAGTAAAAGTAATTTTCGAGGAATGAAATGGTCTACTAATAACGATGGATGTCTATCAACCAATCTAAGTTGGTCAAACAATAAGTTTATTTTGTCTAGATGGGAAAACCCTTCGCCATTATTTCTACCATTCACGCTTCTATTTTCATTATCTTGAGTACTTGGACCATTGCTATCCAATAGGCTGTCTATAGTGTTCCTCTGTTGTTTGACTTTGGAAATGGTTATCAATTCCTGGCGGAAAATCTCGATAATCAATTCAAGTAGATCCTTCTGAACATTCGTAAGTAAAGTGGCTAAGTAATAAATTCCATTATTTGGTTGTTCTATGGGTTTCTCTATTATAGCCTCTTCTTGGAGGAGGCTCATAAGATTCATTTTATACCTAGTGGTACTTCACTTTTGTCTACGTCAGAAGAACTGGTGAAGGCTTGTTTTCTTGACAGGTGAAAGTTTACGAGGCCCACGATACAAACGTGAAAATTCCTGCATGGAAGAAGTGCAACCATTTTAAATGGGGCCCAGCTGCGTGGTTTTAGATGCCAACATCTCTAGTGAAAAGGAGTATTTTGTCCACCAAAAGAGCGGCATTCGTCGGCTGTACTGTCTGCAGAGGTGATAGATGGCTCAGGTGGACACCGTAACAAAAAACAATTTGTGCTGAGCACAATAAATAAATTCTATAAGCGTATATTAATAATCTCCCAAATACATGAAGACTCTAATAAGTGTGAGTTAACCTGATAAAGTTTGTAAATTTCTTTTATTTCTTTATCTCCTTCCCTTTTTCTTCACAACAACATTTAGTCCTATACTTCCTAAACTATCCCAAACAGCTGCATCTACCTTTTTAGGCAATTTCCTACCATACAAACATTGATCAACAAACCACATTCCCGCTAAAAATTCGGCTTTGTTCAAAGTTCCGTCATGCCTAAAGTCTACAAGAGCCCAAATTCCTTTCAAAGTTTCTGTGGGTAGTCTACTTCTGAGCCATATCCTTTTTACAACCACTCCGTGAATCAATTGAGAAAGCTCCGCAGAAGTTTGGTTGTGGAAATTATCCTCTAAGTTAGTCTCTTCTCTTAGCTTGGATGATAACCTTGCAGCAGCAAGGCTGGTCTCCTCTTTTGTAAGTGGAGCTGTTTCTGGAGCTGTTTCCAGATCACTTCCATAGTCTACTCCTACCAATTTGGTGACAACTGAAGATAAGTAGAGTCCCTTGTTGCTTACCCAAACCCCTTCATATCTTTTCCTTTCCTGTTCCGTTATGTATGATAAATCGGTATGGTTCTTCCAAGGTTTGTTTTCGTTAAAAGTAAGCTTCTTTTCCTTTTTCTTATTCGTTTTACGCATTGTTGTTTTCAATTGTACCTTTTGAACTGGTTTTACGATCTGCTGTCTTGAACCATGCGTTTCAAGCATAACAGAGTTGGGCTGTTCCGTTTCAATTTCACTTGTTTCATCTTCTTCGCTTTCATTGTCTTTATAATCACTCTCTTTCATATGTATATTAGATTTGGATTTATTCTTTTTGTGTTGGCTAAGACCTGGAAACTGAGGAAATTTTGTAGTAGAAGAGTCTTCTTGTTGGTAGTGAGCATACTTCTGAACTTCTTCAAACAGTTGTCTACCTGATGATGCATCTGGTAGAATGAAAGGCTTATTGGGATTGAGGGAGGGCAGATCAGAAGCGTAATCAGTAGTACCACTATCAAAGTCATCCTGCGACATTGGGGGAGGTTTTCTTCTAAGTACTTTCTTATCATTTTCCGTAAGAGTCAGCATCATGGATGCCAGATCATTATAGTATGAAAATGGATTACTGTCTTCCAGGCCAGCAAGTTTCATAGGAGTAGCCCTTGAATGCTGCTGTTCATTAAGCAAAACTGCCAGTCCGCTCAACAGTTCACCAAGTCCCGGTACCAGGCCTGGTAACAGTCCCAGACTCTGTACAATCACGGGCTCGCCATCATTATTATCGGGATGCTCCACCATAATAGTTGGTGCGTTTTCCTTCATAGGGCTCTCCGTTATTCTTTCGGTGCTAACTCTTCCTTGTTGATTCGCAAGAATTGAAACTAATTCGCTCCCACTGCTATGAATTGAAGAGCCAATGGAGGAATAAGAGTTATGAAATGCGTTTCTTTCGAAATCGCCTGGCCCCCTTGGAGCTAATACAGGTGATGAACTTCCTGATATAGAAGCAGAGCCACTGCCATTCCTGTGACTAGCTATCGGACTTAGCAATGGGGTTGAGGCAAGAGGTGAGGAAGTTGGAGGGCCAACAAAGCTTGAATTTGAGGGATCTATCGAGGTCACTCTTGGTGTGTGGATTCTCTTCATGTCTATAGAATCGCGAATCTCATTCAATCGATCTTGATTTCTCTGGCTGAGTTCAGTAGTACTTTGACTTGCTGCTTTCGATTTAGAGTTTATGCTGTTTTTAATTTGGTTTATCATATCTAAGGAGGAAGAGTTGGCTTTGGGCAGTTTGCCATCGCTGTTTACCATCCTAGATTCGATGGATTTTTTCACTTTTTGGATCATGTCATTTGTCGATAAATTTGAATGCTGTGAGGATGATTTCTTCAATTGCAGCTGATGGTGTTGTGCTGGAGTTGAGCTTGTATTAGAGTTTGGATTTGAATGAAGGTTAAAGTAGTCAATTGAGCTGGAATCTTGAGAATATACGGATACAGAAGATGAAGCTGGAATTGAACGATGGTAATTGATACCCTTGGGAGTAGATGGGGGATAATCGGCAGTATTTGTGTTACTGTTGTTGCTACTGGCTGATACAGTCGCTGCAGCAAGTGCAAGAGATGCTGTAGACGTTGTATCTGATCTTTGTAATTGTTGATGTGAATGGGGAAGCTTCAGCGGATTCGGATGCATAGGCAGAACACCTTTGGGCAGGTAATAAGTTGAGGAAGTATCCTTTCCAATACTGTTGAGATCAATATGCAATTTAGGAGTCGACTTCAATTGACCCGTTGTAGAAGCTTTGGCTACAGGACTCGGTCTTTTGAATTGACTGGAAGCAGTAGAGGTTCTACGGACCATCTGGGCTGCACCCAGCGAAGAAGCAGGGGGCCCACTTCCTGTGTTCAGTGACTGGGCCCTTGAGCTCTCAGTAGGAATTTGGAATTTTTGTGGATTTTTCTTATCATGCAATATTTCAGACTTGGACTTGTTGCCTATACCCTGGAAGGCAGCCAATGCTGCTGCGTGAGACGATGATGACATAGTCAATGGGCGGTATATATATATATATATATATATATGAGGTCTATTACTTCCCGTAGTATGCTAGCATTTACTCAGTGAGTCTCGAGTTTTTTTTTTCAGTTTTTCTTGCTTATCTGTGTTGTATCAGAGGGAAATTTGGGGGGGCTGTACTTCCTTGATGTACTGCCAGATGTAATCCTACAACAAAAAAATATCAAGATCTGAGATTTTCGAGGTTATACTGTGTACAATCAGTAAGATAGTGATCAGTGGTATTGCTTGTGTACAATTTGTCGATTCAGTTGCTCTATATGGTGGCTTCGACCGTCCTTGGATAATGCCTAGAGAAATTCCAGTATGGCGTAGCTTCGAATTGTTTCTGACTTTTTTTTTTTTTTACTTGCTGAATCAGAAGCCCGGTAGTTTATATTTTTAGAAGAACTACGTAATCGGAATTATGGTATGCGCTTGCGGACTCTGGTGGACTGCAGGTAGCGGTGCGTGGTGCAACAAGGAACGTAAAGGTGTAGTTAAATTTTGTTGAAGAAAATGATGAAGGAAATATGAATGGAAGAAAAAAATTACAGGCTCTGGAAAGAAACTGTCTGAAGTGTCTATATTTTGGATAACTGTGACCTCCGTCAAAAATTGATTCCCTTGACAAAAAATGTAATACTTTTACTGTTATTACTCTCATCCCTTTCTGTCCTGTGCCTGTATCTCTCGGTGCATGTGGTGCTACGGTGATCATCAGTGCCTGCATATAACTGTTCCTAATCTTTTCCAAAAGGAAAATGAAAAAGATGAAAAAACAAAAGGGTTACTGCTGGTAGAGGATACTTCTTCCTATAATATCCTATCTTCTTCAGTATTCCTCTTGTCAAGATGACCGAGTTGCAGGCCCGTCAAAAATCTCAACGTTTATTGAACAAAATGAAATCCAATAACAGCCTTGCCAAGAATGGCTCCAAGAACAAGCTTGAGCAGTTCAACCTCTACAAACAGAAGGCCAAAAATATATCTAACCCCAATGAATTATTACCTGGGTTAAATGACATATCGGATGCATTTGAGGCGTTGCCTTTGGATTTAATCAAATATTTCACACTTTTGAAAGAAATCGATGCCAAATGTATCAATACAGTTCCACAAATTAACAATTCCATCAAGACCTACATTAATAATCTTCACGACGAAGAGCAGAAGACTACAGACCCAAACTCAACTAGGCGTCTTTCTGTGATAAGAGACAAGATCTTGGAGATTATCCCATGTCTAGAAGAGAAAATGCATGTTGCCTCCGTGGCCACCGATTTGTTACATAAGCACATGTACAGGATCAATAATGACTACAAGCTAATCATAAATAATAACGAAATTCCCGAATCGATCAGAATCGGTCCGTTGAATCATCCAGCCATGATCATGGACAGCCAGGCGCCCAGCGATTTGCACAATCCGAATAGGTCCGCTCAAAGTCAGAGGCTGGAGAGCAGAAGGGAGGCGCTAGCTGCCAAGAAAGCCAATAAGGATGACACGGGAACTGAAGACGACTTGAACAACTCAGCCAGTGTATCCACATTGGCAACATTAACTGCAGGTGGGAAGAAAAAGGGCCCAAAGGGCAGAGATGCAGTGCCGGCAATGGAAAAGTCTGGATCTGGAGTCGCTGGTGGGAGCGGAAATGCCACCACAACTAAAAAGAGATCAAGAAAGGAGTTGAACCAGGACGAACTCTCCAGACCAAACACTCCAAGCAATGCCAATTTCTCTGTGAATTCATTCAAAGGCAAGAATGGGAACGCCAACAATGGTGGTAATATTAACAATAACAGCGCATCCAGTGGCACGAATAACCCAAACAGCAATTCATCTAATTCCACATTCAACAGTGGTGCGAACTCATCTGTGAGTTCCAATGGTGCAGTCAAGAAAAGAAATACAAAGCCCAAGAAAGAAGATATATTTGTCAATGTGGAGATTACCTCAACCAATAACTCAGGCAACAATAACAACAGTACCAGTTCAGGTAATACCGAACCTACATACTGCTATTGTAACCAGGTATCGTTCGGAGAAATGGTGGGATGTGACGGAGACGACTGTAAGAGAGAATGGTTCCATTTACCATGTATCGGATTCAAGAATCCACCAAAGGGGAAGTGGTACTGTGATGACTGTGTGGTAAAGATGAAGAAGTCTAAGAAGATTTAAGGCTATACGCGGGCTTATCATCTTTTCTGCCTCTTTTGTATACTAATAATAAATACTGAATCTTAGCAAGCCCTGAGGCAATGTAACATCAGCCCTGACAGGTGCACCGACGTACCGAACTATGTGCTCGTCAGAGTGTGTTTCCTGCAGGTAAACTCTAACCCGACACCGATTTTAGTATGCGGGGGAGGGGAAAAGAAGGGCTAATTTTTCACTCACGATTTCCTGAAATGGTCATTGCTAAGCATCCCTCGAGCAATGTTCGATATTTCTATTTTACAGCTGGTAAACTACAACGTAACATACGATTAACGGTCGGCTTTTCCTCTTGCCCAGGATTTTATTGCACACTCTACATCTCCAAGCATTTCTTCAATCCCTATTCTTTTCTTTTTTTTTTTAATTTTAAATCCTTTTTTTTTTCGAAACTCTGAAGTGTGAAAACCTTGGGATATTATTTTATCGGTAGGTAATATACGTAATCACCTTTACCTACAATTTATAGTGCGGATAGGCTTCTTTTTATTGTCCCCTTACTGCATTCGTCCGCCTGCGAGCCTCATTAAGGAGGAACTTACACTAGGGAAATAAGGACAACTGAAATGACCTGTACATAGATGCCAGACGAAATGCTCTTCCGCTTTCTACGGTGGGTGATTAGGCACAATACGCGCGCGCAGAAGCACGCGTGAGCTAAAGGAAGGAATAATGCGAATGCACAGTGAGGTGGTGCTGAGTTTCTAGAAATATGTTGCCCCATTAGCTTAGGCGGGAGAAAGAGAGTAGAGTGCCAAAATAGGACATTGTTAAGTCTATTTTTAATACACCTATGGTAAAATACTGATTGAGGGTTGTGATATACCGACAACAAAAAAAAAAAATATAAAGATTCTACAGTTAGGTGTAATCAGCAGTCAAGCCCGTGCAGGTGAGTCGATGGGTCGGTCTCTATCGTCTCAGATGCTCATTAGGTTCTGGTGCTGCATTTGATTTGTCCAGTTTTAACTTTTTTCGTGTCTGTTTTATTAATTTGTCTTCTGGTTCGTCGACCTTGTTTCCCTCCTTAAGCCGTTTTTGGTCTAGAGTTGATGCAAAGTGCTCGTAGTTGTGCGATGTTCCGCCCTGACACTTTTTTTGTATGTTAACTAAAGTTTCAGTGGTGGTGGGGAAGCCAGTGGAATAAAAAATAGCAAATTTAAAAAGGAAAAAAAGAAAAGAAAGAAACACTTCTATAGCTCAGCATGGCATATGGCATATGTGTAGGCGCTCCGAAAAGGCATTTCGATATCTATATATTTTTTTGACCTATGATGTTGCACCTACTTACGTGTGACTTCATACATGTTTACTAAAGTAATGCATGAACATAAAAAAGAGAAAAAAAAAAAAAAAACTAGTGAGCAAGCCCGTATATAGGAGGGGTGACAGGGAGCAGGGGACAGCTTCATCGTTTGGATGGTGAACGTATCAAACGCAACAAGAAAGAAAGAAAACAGAGAATAAAAAGCCAAACGTTAACTATTTTTCCAAAAAAAAAAAAAAAACTCTGTTCTTACCTCACTCGGTGATACATTTCTTGTTCAGCAGCAAGAGCAATGACAGTCCACCAGCACTTGCTCTGATATGTGACCATGGTGTGCACCTTCTCATATCTCTTAACATTTCCGTAAATGTCGCTTGAAAAATAAAAAAATAAAAAAAAATAAAATAAAAAAAAAAAAAAGAAAAAAACCTAAATTCATGTTTAATTAAGCAGATACACGAAAGAAGTAAAAAAAAATTTACAAATTGGAATTAAAAAAAAAAAAAAAACTTAGCCTTAGCCTTAGCCTTAAGCGTCCTTTCTATTATTATACATATATATATATATGTCAATAGTAATCCCTTTCAGTTTTGCTTTTTTGTTGGGAAATCTTTTTCTCTTTTTTTCCTCTTTCTTTCTTCTTCTGTCTTTGTTTTTAATCCACTTTGTATAATTTCAGCACCCCCTTCCTTCGGTTACATTCAAGTAATTGAGCTTATTTAAGTATTATTCTTTATTACTTTGTGCAATTTAAATTTTTCACCTATTTTAACAAGGTCTAGGTTCGTTGAAAAATTAAAGAATTTTCACTTTTCTACCTTCAAAATATTATAGAGTATACGAGCGAAAGCAAAGGAAAACGTAATAAACTTTTTGAAATATCAAGTTAAATATATCGATATTAATTTCTTTTCTTATTTTATATATATAGTTCAATTAAAACTAGTATAAGCTCCCCAGGAAAAGAGAGAAAAAAAAAAGGGAAAAAAAAGTCTTGAAAAATTAATTTCAATTCAATTCAATTCAATTCAGTAATAATTATAATAATCTAATCTTTGTATTATGATGAAGGAATATAAATTAGTCGTTGTTGGTGGTGGTGGTGTTGGTAAATCTGCATTAACAATTCAATTGGTCCAGTCGCACTTTGTTGATGAGTACGACCCAACTATTGAAGACTCTTACCGTAAACCATGTACCATTGACGATGAACAAGTCTTGTTGGATGTCTTGGATACTGCTGGTCAAGAAGAATATTCAGCAATGAGAGAACAATATATGAGAACCGGTGAAGGGTTTTTATTGGTTTACTCAATTAATTCCAAGAACTCCTTGGAAGAATTGCAATCGTTCTACGAACAAATTCAAAGAGTCAAGGACTCAGACATCGTCCCAGTCTTGGTTGTTGGTAACAAGTGCGATTTAGAAACTGAAAGACAAGTTAGTTTCGAAGAAGGTGCTGCCTTAGCCAAATCATTCCATGCTCCATTCTTGGAAACTTCAGCAAAGCAAAGAATTAATGTTGAAGAAGCTTTCTACGGGTTAGTTAGAGGAATTAGAGATGCTGATAAGATTGAAGAGAAGGCCGCAAATGGCAATGCTAACGGTTCAGTGGCTGCTGCTGCTCCTGCTGCTCCTGCTGCTGCCGTTCCAGCTGCTAGCACTGGTGCCACATCTTCCATTGACGCTAATGCTTCTGAATCTAAGCAAGCTGACGTGATACAAGATGATGCTGATAAGTCCTCAAAACCTGCCTCTGCTCCAGCTGCTCAAAGCAATGCTCCTTCCTCAGCTCCAAATACCGCCTCCACTCCAGTTACAAAGAGACCTGCTACTACCACTACAAAGCCTTCTTCCGGTGCTGGTGCCGAAAAGGAAAAAGCTGGATGTTGTGTAATTGTTTAAAAATCAATATATGTAAAAGTTGTTAAAATTTGTGTAAAGAATGAAGAATGTGAATAAAAGTTCAATGGTTGAGGATAAGCATTAATCGAGTAAGTGTAGAATGTTTAAAGAGATATGAAATTGGTGAATGTTCTTCTAACTGTTCAGCCTACCTTTTTTTAGTTTCTTTCAACTGGGGTTCAAGCCATTTCCCTTTGTCTCCCACTACTCTTACTAACGGCATGTAGCATTGTTTCATGTGAGTCGCTCACTTGTGCCAATAGGTCTCAATGAGTTCTAGTGTTTCACAAGTGCTCGAGTTTATTCCCATGTGCAAATATCCAATACTGCCATATGAAGGTGAAATTTCTCATTGCCGAAAGTTTGAGATGGCCCATATAAGGTAGCCGCAGCCTTCCCCATACCCCATTGCCTGGTGCAATACAGTTTAGAGGAGGTGTAGTGATTACAGGTTCTACATTACCGGCTCATTCGCTTCATTTATTCTTTTTTGTACTCTATTCGATTTTCTATGTATTTTGTTTTCAGCTCCACCACTTTCCTAATTGATAAAGTGATACACAATGAAATGTAAAATCAAGCTGGCAAATATATAATCACCAAAAGCCCTCTCTGGACTAATGCTCTCGAAAAGAGAATTTGACTTTGGTGCATCTTCAGATTTTTCTTCTTCAGCTTCAATTTCGTCAATTGATGTTTCAGTTTTGTCAGAAGTCAGATTTTCGTACTGTAACCTCAAACTAACAGTCAATACAAACTGACCAACACATGAAATGAATCCACCTAAGAATGCATTGAATGGGAAATTTCCAATCAAAATCACATACACGAATTGTAAAATCCCCAATAATACTAAAAATGCTAAAAAGACATCTATTAATTGCAATCTTGGAGTTAAACTATTGATGTATGATTTGTATGTAGTATTAACTGCGTTCACTAAGTCAGTGATAGGTTGGCTAATTGAATTAGGAGTTGCACTGGCTAAAGTGCCGGTACTCGAGCTTGTGCTGGTTCCTGTAGCCTTCTTGATAGAACTTGCAACGGCTGGAGAAATTTTCGCGTCTTTCTTTACCATCTTCACTGTGTTTTCGTGTGTAGAGTGGAGCTGGTATTGTGCAATCTGTTCTTTTTCTTACCTTCTTTCGAAATTGACGTGTTGAGATTTTTCAGCACCCCAGTAATGAATGATGTATGCAGGATATTTGGACTGGTATGGAGGAAAGCACGAAAACGAAATATAGCTAATCAAGAAAGGAGAAAGGTCTAGGAGTTTAAAGGCTGTATTCAAAAGAGTTGGGACAGTTGCAATTATATCTACATATTTACTAACCATACTGGCAGAAGAAAGAACATAATACAAAAGAATAGAAGAAGATTCTTCCAAGATATCAGTAGCAGAATATAATTGACAATCTTACATTAATACATTAAAATTAGCATTAGACAATATTACAACTATGTCAGTAACAGTATCAGATCACGATAGTAAAAAGAACTTGAAGATAATCTCTCAGCCTCCCACGCTTCGAATTATTCCACCATTGAATTTCTGCCCTGTAGAAAAGCATTTGTACCGTTCCGGCCAGCCTTCCATTATAAATCAGTCTTTCTTGCAGGATTTAAATTTAAAGACCATCATATGGCTAGCAAGTGAGGAGCCACAGGAAGATTTTTTGGACTACTGTTCATCGAATAACATCGACATTGAGTTTGTGGGGATGATGAATGACTACAATTACCAAAGTGTGAATCCGTGGGATGCCTTAACGGAAGGGACGATCAAAAAGGCGTTGGAGTTGATTTTGAATAAAGAAAACCATCCGTTATTGGTCTGCTGTGGGATGGGGAGACATAGAACCGGGACGGTGATTGGGTGTTTAAGAAGGTTGCAGGGTTGGAATTTGGCCAGTGTAAGTGAAGAATATAGAAGATTCACTGGAGCTAGAGGTGGCAGAATCTTGGTAGAGTTATTGATTGAGAGCTTTGATTTGGGACTAGTGGAGGTGAATCTGGAGATGATACCTGAGTGGTTAAAGAATTGAGATACGTAGCGTAGAGCAAAAATAGAACAATAGCAAGAACGAATGAAATGAAATACTTCTGTGACAGCAGAGTCTATCACTGACAGGAAGCATTAAGCTGATGCAACTCTGATCAGATCAGATGAATTGGGCTTTGGCTATGGAACAATTCAGGTACGACTTCATCCATAGAACCGGTACCGGCAAAGGAGTGAAAGCTGAAACACTTTCTGCGCCAACCAGCTCAGACATTCAAGACTTACACTTCAGTTCGTGGTATTATTTAGAGTACAATAAAAGTAGAATGTGGGCTCCGGCTTCTAGGATCGCCAACCACCTTTAGATCACCGCATTTCTTCCACCGTAGCGTAATTCAGCACCACCTAAGTAGACAACCTCAAAAAGAAATTATACTTTTCTCATAACCCTGTACAAGCTCTACCTATCCTATGGCACCCCAAACAAGACTACCTACTTTAGTCTTAGACCAATAGTCTTTCTTCCATCCTTCCCGTCTCCACCACCCCAATTCCTCACCGGCTCCACCACTCCACTTAACTCCATCTTTTTTCCCTTGGTCGCGCTCCTCCGTCTACCTTTCCTTCTCTTCTCCCTTTGCCTTCTTTTAACCCAACCATCACTCTTTGTATGGTTGCGCCCTGCATATTATCTCGCACCCCATGATGATCCCTCCCCCAAAATAAATTAGTTCACGTCCTTGGTGTATGTATCAGGTTTTTTTAGATTTTGTTCCCTTATCATTAAAATTTGCCCTTTGATTTTTGCCATCTGGGAACAAAGAAAAAGTATTTAAACAAAATCTCCATACAACTGTCTGAGTTTTTTTTATACATAAGCAGTATCTCATTGGCAAAGTTTTTGAGATGAGTTGTGTTGCCACCGTAAAATTGATTGGGGCATCCTCACTTGGTTTGTTAAGTGCTTCCCTTAGTTACCAAGCGTTCAAGGATATCCCCAACTTGATAAGTGAATTGAACCTGAACGTTAATTGCCTCCTGCAGTCAAATATAATTGATAGGGCGTTGTCTTTGATCAGAACGACCCAATTTGGATCATTGACTTTGGGTGCATTGGCTTCAGGCTTCTTTAGTTTAGCATTTATTGTCTCACCCCCAAAGGGGAAACACCCTTACTTGATATACGCCAGTTTGGGTGCACCAATTGCATTGTTGAGTGCCTACTACAAATCTTATGAATATCAATCAAGATTGGTTGAAAAGGCCAAAAGATCCAGGGCCAAGAGGGCTGCTACTTCCGTGCCGGAAGGGGAAGCTACAGTTTCTGCTGAGTCTGTTGAACCAGCCGCTGCTGAAGCTGTTGTTTCAGATGATGAGTCACTTGGAAAGTCCTACATTCACGTTTCAGATGATGATGAAGGATCTACTGAATCCACTCCTACCAGCTCCAATGTAGAAACTCCAGTCAGCATCAATATTGACCAATTGCAGCAGGCTTTGAGCATTGAGGAGGAGGTCGATAATGCACTTAATAAGAAGGAATTCACCAACGAATTGGAACACATCCAATTCGGATATTACATTGGTAGTGGAATCACAGGTGTTACCTTTGTGATTGCAACTATTGGTTTAATCGGTGACTACTATTTATTGTAGGAACAGAAAATGGGAAGGAAGTGAGTATAGGAAATCGAAAAATTGGAATGAAGAGGTATAAATTAATGAGTTGAGAGACAGGATGAGTGAATGGTGTCTCTAGGTAAAGCAGTATCGAAGAACTTGTGTCATTTCTTTGCTGATTTTCTTTGTTTTTTAGCCCTTGTGCTACATTTAGGGTTATTATCGATTGAAAGAAATGTTAAGTTATTGTTTTTATATGTTTATACGTTGTGAGTAGCTTTACTTACTTTTAGATAGGAATGGGTGTTGTAGGGAAATTGGATCATGGCAATGGATTATTGCTACATGAGGAGAAGGTGTCAAAGTTGTATTCATGCGATACCAGATTTATTTTGTTCAATAAATAGTATACAAAAGGCGAGGAGCTGTAGATTAGTAGGAGTACTTTGTTGGAGTACGGTATAAGCTGAATAGCTTCAGTGACGAATCACTTGCATTCAATTGAATCCTTCGGTCAAGACTGAAAGTATGCAATGGGGCGATAGTCCAAGGGAAGATGTGTTAACGAATTAGTTCACAAGAGAATGGCTAGTGGAAGTATGCATTAACGAAGAACAGCTTTTTCGTTAAACGGAAAAATGTGTACATTCTTTAAAAACCGAGTGCCTAGCAAATACTTAATGTAGAAGGCAAGAAATTGCTGAGAATAACATTAATAATAAAAATGTGCCTACAAAACTGTACTGTATCATGAAATAACTGTTTATAAAATTAAGAAGACTTAGGGACCAAGTTAAATATTTACCGAAATTGTAAAATCGATCATGAATAATATAAAAATAGGAAGAAATGTTAGAGAGAACAAATGAAGCACACACACCTTCTATCCTGCGTTAACTAACAGAAAAGACACATAAATGATCGCTAAGCAAACGTTCTCGAACAATACACCTACCGATTGTATGCGTATTTCGTCGCTGGTTGACCTCGGGCATTTCATGGGGCTACCGCTTTAGGTCACTGCGGCATTGCTAAAAGATTCACTGGGGTAAAGATACGCAATGGTTGCGAAAAAAAAAACGATGCCAGGAAGAAAGTCAAGCACAGCAGTTTGACAGATAGCAGAGATGCTAATAGAATTTGACTGGGTTCCATTCCTTTCTTACTATGATATTCAAGAAACCGACACATAGAAAAAATAGGTCGATTCCACAGTCCTTTGGCAAGCACTCAGCTGCCTTATTGAGTCGGCCCATGGTGCTTACACAGCGATGCAGCAAAATAACACAATAGATAAAAAATAAAATAATTGCAAAGTCTGCTACCATATCAATAGCGCCGGCCACAGTGCCTCCAGAAGGGAAGAGATGCCGTTGGAAAGTAAACACCATCACACTGGCCGTTATCCATAGCCCGAAACCGACCTAAGTGATCACTTTATGGGCCGAGCTTGTGTGGTTGGTTTATGCTTTTGCACTAGATCCTCATTTGTTTCATGCATGCTTACAATTAGCTAGCAGAAAATTGAGTGAGAGCAACGAAAAATTCTTGTCGCTTATTAAAAAAAAGCGTCTAGACTTCAATATTTTCAGTGAGCGTTATGAATAAAATGGATTTTCCCTTGCGATGATCAGTAGTACTTCTCCACTCAGAATTAATTAGCCTTCAGGTATAAATTAAACGCTTATTTCTGTGAAAGGGTTATCAATTGGAAAAAATTACCAAACCAATTTGCAACAACGAATCAACTTATATACAAATAATGTCTAAATTTTATGAACTAGCTCCTCTCAACAACAAAGGTGAACCATTCCCATTCTCCGAATTAAAGGGTAAGGTTGTCGTGATAGTAAACGTTGCCTCCAAGTGTGGTTTTACTCCTCAGTATAAGGAATTGGAAGCATTGAACAAACAATATGAAGGTAAGGATGTTCAAATCTTGGGATTTCCATGTAACCAATTCGGTGGACAAGAACCAGGTTCATCCGAAGAGATTGCATCATTTTGTCAATTGAACTTTGGTGTCACTTTCCCTGTATTACAAAAAATCGAAGTTAACGGTGACAACGCAGACCCAGTTTACAAATATTTGAAAAGCCAAAAATCCGGTTTATTGGGATTAACTAGAATTAAGTGGAACTTCGAGAAGTTTCTCATCGACAAGAAGGGTAACGTCATTGAAAGATACTCTTCCGTCACGAGTCCTGCTAAGTTATCAACCAAGATTGATGAGTTATTGAAGCAGTAGTTTTAGTGTGCGGTAGGAAAGAAATGTAAGAGTACCTTATATAGTTCTATGCAGAAATATAATAATTTAATTTGTTTAAGATGGCTTCAGAGAGGTGTAGGGATAAGACAATAGAATAATGAGAGAACGAAGAACTAGCGCTATCTCTCGTTTAAAGTGTTGTGTAGCAAAGCATTTTGTTCCACTTTAATCGTGCTTCAGATTAAGTTGGGAAAAAAATCAATAGTGTTGCAGTTTGGTGGGCCCGAGGCAAACCTCGGAAAATCTGAGATGGTCCCTAATTCCACTAGCTGACGAGATTGTGGTGCTACTAGGAATCAAACAGAGCGCATTAGTCAACCACAATTGAGGGGAGATAGATAGTAAGACAATATGCTGTTGGAATTCACATTCTTCACATATCCCATTGGGCTTTTACTGCAGCAAAATTATGATCACTCTCTAAACAACCAGGCTTACAATGCCTCCCCCCTGATGGTTTTACATAAGCAGATAAGCTTCTGATTACGTATTAAGATATGTGTGTTTTGGTTTACAGGCTTTGTTTGCATTTCAATTATGTGCAGAGCTAAACGTCAGCGGGTGTGGAATGCGAAATCACTTGTCCACTCCATCTACACATATACTAGATCCATTCTGCAGTATTACATTCACATCCTTTCAGTCAAAAGAATAAGGTATTGGGTTTGACACAATAAGATAAGAAAAGGGGAAGAGTACAAGGGGGATTAAGGTATGTAGAACCGTGTCAGAAATGCTATAGCAACAACAATGCGAAACTGTTTACAGCCAATTCTTCAGAATACACATGATGTTACGTCATGAGAGATATATAGATAGAGAGATAGACAGATAGAGAGAGAGAGAGGAGAGAGAGAGAGAGAGATAGGGAGAGTTCTAGAAATGTCAAAGTGCAGTCCAATATAGAAATAGATAAATAGAACAAAAAAAAAAAAATAATAATAGCGAGATGTGCGCCGCGCTGACAGCTTACTCCAGTACAACGGCACATAGAAATGCCCTATGAATCAATTAATCTACTGGTAAAGCATCCGTTTAAAATGGTTGCTCTTTTGCCTTTTCTGTTAGCCAAACATGTAAATTACCCTAAGTTTACTGCTGCAACGCAATTTACCATCCCTTTGCCGATCCACTGGCTGATGACAAGGATAAGCTTTCAAGTTCCTATATAGGGCAATTTCATGTTCCAGTTAATTTCTTTTTAATTATTGATTTTTCTCTTGAGTGCATTGAGGCTCTGATTACTCCATGTAAGCCCAGTCAAAAGTTGAATGATTCCTGCACCTAGTCACTTTTTTCTTTTTCGATCACCTTCTATTGCACCATGAATTCCTCAATCCACCACCAAAATCCAAAATTCCTCTCACAAGATAGTGTTGGTATCCTGCATACTGACCGGATGAAAATACCCCTATATAGTCTGGCAATCGCATCTTCTTGACAACCCACAATTTTATTGTTCAGAAGAGGTTGTAGACTTAAAAGGAAAAGAAGAACATTCAATTGAAAAAGGTGGAAAAATCTTCAAATTGTTTTTCATTAGGTGAATATTAACATTGTATACGTTTCTATAACATTTCTTCTTGTTTCTTTTAGGGTACTCTGTCCTTTTCAGTTTAGATTAGTTTCGAAAGCTGGAATCTGATTTTCTTATCACCAAATTGTGGGGACGCACTGTAAATTAGCTGACCCCATAGTTTAACACATACAACGATAATGCAAGACTATAAATTTGATAGCTATGAAAATAAGAGCTCCCTTCTAGGTGGCAAGTATCAATACATCTCTCCGATTCAGGAGGGATCTTTTGGTAAGGTTACGTTGGCGTACAACACTGAATTGAAGTGTGAGGTGGCCATGAAGGCCATGTATAAGCACCAACCGGAAATTAAGAGAATGGCAAACCATGAAATAAAGATGCTTACGAAGTTGGGATCCAAGAGCGACAATATCTGTCAGTTATTGGATCATTTCGAGACGGATGAGTATGTTGTGTTGGTGTTGGAGTACTGCTCTAGCGGAGACTTGTATGACTTGATCCATTCAGGCTTGAACATTTCTGCAGTGGACTTGTGGCACATTGCTAAGGAATTGAGCAGTGGTGTCATGTATGCCCATTCTTTGGGTATCTATCATAGGGATATTAAGCCGGAAAACGTTTTATTCAACTCCTTTGGTAGAGTCAAGTTGTGTGATTGGGGATTGTCCACCACCGGCAGACATTCCAACCAGTTTAATGTAGGAACAGAGAAGTACTTAGCACCTGAATGCTTCAAAAATGAGGAAGAGAAGAGCAATGGTGACGAAGATGAATACGACGACACCTATGATTGCAAGTTTGCTGACTATTGGTCACTTGGTATTACACTTCTTACTGCGGTGTTTGGCACATCGCCATTCAAGCCGGTTGGAGTTTCTTCATCTTTGGAATCTGACACAAATTTCAAGAATTTCGTTCACTTCGGAAAGAGTGAAGTGTTGTACGACATTTATCCAACAATGAACAAGAACTGTTTTGAAATCTTTATGAATTTGTTGAAAACAGGTGAAAAGGATGACAAGGAGAACAAGAATAGAAAGATCTCTTCAAGAGACTTAAACTTGTTCTTACAAGACTTGGAACTGAATTGGAAATTTGGCTTAAGTATCGACGAAGAATATGAATTAGAACAATTGGATGAAGAAGATAATGCTAAGAACCATAAAGATTCAGACTTATTTGACATGGATGACGATGACTTAGGATATGGCAGCAGCAAGCAAGATTCATTGACTGATCCAACCAATTACGATGACGATGACTCAGAATTAGACGAGTTGGAAGATTTTATTGGTGTTACCAATTCAATCAAGATTCCAAATAGAAATGGGAGTGGTACTGCTGGTGGTCAACCGGAGATGCATAGAAACACTATGCACGCTCATGGCCATACCGTCAACTCCATTCCATCGCTTATTGAATCTACTTCTGGTAAGTCGTGGTGTGATTTTGATGATGCAGATGACGCAGAGGGAGACGTTGAGGAAGAAGAAGATGAAGAAGGAAATGGGAATACACTCAGCTTATTAATAGAAGGATTAAAGGTTAAAAGCGAGTTGAACACAATTAAGGAAGAAAGAAACTTACCAATCTCTGGGAAATTAAGAGAAATTGGAGTTACTATACAAGAACGGGAATTAGATAACGAATGGCATGCCTATAGAGCGTAGGCGAATTTTACGAATAATAATAATGAGGGTTAGATATATATAAATTAAACGAATAATGAGATAACAGTTGATGTAGAGGCTTGAACGTAGAATGGGAAGAATTTGAAAGGGCGCTTGTGGATCACGGATTTACATAAAGTCCAGTTCAATTGGATTTATGAAGCTTTGCTAAGGTTGATTTACGGGCGAACAAATATGTTCCAGTCTGTCTACAAAGACACTATAGGCAGAATTGCTTCGAGCCGGGAGAGTCAGAAAAGGCTGCAAAATCGAAGGACTGGGCACCTTGACCATGTGAAGAATTTCCACAACCACAACCATACAGAAAAACAGAGGCTCGACACACCTGGCGACTTCCAGGGCAGCCCTAGAATAGCGTAAGTTGGAACAGTCTAAACTAAATTTAGTAATAGGGTACGTACCACTGGACGCAGTGCCTCACAGTATCGGCATGGCTATATTATCGCCTTGCAGGGGTTCATTATCTGTCCATTATCTGTCCTAATTATTGCATCCTTCTCTTCTTCTCTCCTGTAAAGGCCCGCACTCTTCATGCAACCTAAAAGCTTCCGAATTCGCAGACCCGTGACTCACTGAGAAGAATGGAAAGTTCCCACTAAGTAGTTCCTGTATACTAGTCAAAGCGGTGTGTGAGGTGGATCGATGAGATAGAATGTGTGAAAGTGGTACCAAACAGGTATTGCACAACAAAGAATGCACCAGTAAACTAGCCAACCTGAACCAAATTCCAAATTTAATACCACTATTACCATTATTTATAGCTCCATCCTTTCCCCGAACCAGATCAGCAGCTCTACTGTCCATCCCTTCCCCACCCAGCTTACTCTGTCCACTCTCTAATTGTTCCGCCTCTCCGAAGGTGCCCGCAACCGCTGCCGGTAGCCTGTATCGGACTCTGCACGACTGTCTGAAAAAAAAAATTTTTTTTTTTTGAAAAATTTCTGGACACACCGCCAAAAATCTCAAAATATATAAGGACGCCAATTGAAGGGGAAAGTATTAGGTAAAATTTCAGAAGTCTTTTTCTAATCATCTAGAATAAATCAGATTTTATTGAATAATATCAAGTAAAAATGTCATTCAGAAACGCTTCCATTCGTATGGCTAGAATTGCCGCCTCAAATGCTTCTAAGCAAGTTGCTTCTAAGAGAACACTCTCTGCTCTTGCTGCTGCTGCTAGACCAATGGCTTCCAAGCAAGCCATGACTCCTCTCGCCACCAGAGGTGTCAAGACCATCAACTTCGCCGGTACTGAAGAAGTTGTCCACGAAAGAGCTGACTGGCCAAGAGAAAAGCTCCTTGAATACTTCAAGGATGACACTTTAGCCTTAATTGGTTACGGTTCCCAAGGTTACGGTCAAGGTTTAAACTTGAGAGACAATGGTTTAAACGTTATCATTGGTGTTAGAAAGAACGGTGCTTCTTGGAAGGCTGCTATTGAAGACGGTTGGGTTCCAGGTGAAAACTTGTTTGAAGTTAACGAAGCTATCAACAAGGGTACTTACATCATGAACTTGTTATCTGATGCTGCTCAATCTGAAACTTGGCCAGAATTAAAGCCTTTGATCACCGAAGGTAAGACTTTATACTTCTCCCACGGTTTCTCTCCAGTCTTTAAGGAATTAACTCACGTTGAAACCCCAGAAAACGTTGACGTTATCTTGGCTGCTCCAAAGGGTTCCGGTAGAACCGTCAGATCTTTATTCAAGGAAGGTAGAGGTATCAACTCTTCTTACGCCGTCTGGAACGATGTTACCGGTAAGGCCGAAGAAAAGGCTATTGCCTTAGCTGTTGCCATTGGTTCTGGTTACGTTTACCAAACCACTTTCGAAAGAGAAGTCAACTCTGATTTATATGGTGAAAGAGGTTGTCTTATGGGAGGTATCCACGGTATGTTCTTAGCCCAATACGAAGTCTTAAGAGAAAACGGCCACACTCCATCAGAAGCTTTCAATGAAACTGTTGAAGAAGCTACCCAATCCTTATACCCATTAATCGGTAAGTACGGTATGGATTACATGTACGATGCTTGTTCCACCACTGCCAGAAGAGGTGCTTTAGATTGGTACCCAAGATTTAAGGATGCTTTGAAGCCAGTTTTCACTGACTTGTACGAATCTGTTAAGAACGGTTCCGAAACTCAAAGATCCCTTGACTTCAACTCTCAACCAGATTACAGAGACAGATTAGAAGAAGAATTAGTCACCATCAGAAACATGGAAATCTGGAAGGTTGGTAAGGAAGTTAGAAAGTTACGTCCAGAGAACCAATAGGTTTATCTGTACTTTGATAACTTACCAGAAGAAAAAAAACACACTTTAACGAAACAATTTTAAGTTCTAGCTTACAGTCTGGTCACTATGAATGACTCTTGTAAATAGAAATTACAACACAACTTAATTCAGTTCTTAAAAAAAAAGTAAAAAAACACTATATATTTATATATTCATTAGCATTAGAACAATCAGTTTGTCGAATAAACATGTTCTCTATAGGAAAAGAAGGGTAATTGTAGAAAAAGAGAAAAAGGTGGAGTAGGTGGAAAGATGGGTGAGCGAAAAGTTTCGAGTGAAGATAGAGACCATTGGGAAGAGGGAGAGAGCTACAACGAACATTTAGGAGTAGATAACAACACAATAGAGCCATTTCCCATTAGAATCTGACAATTGAAATCTACCCTATTGATCCTGCTTATTGCACTCTCTCAGCAGCATCTCCTTCCACCACGCTTATCTGCCATGCGTGGGGCTCACAGAGCATCGGTGAATATCACCAAGGGCAAAGCCCTAGTACACCACGTGATCGTTACTCACTGCGAATTGACACCATGATGCCATAGGTGACCGGATCTCCATATCCGACTACGCAGTAAATCACGTGCACACTAAAAGTCGACCCTCAACCCCAGCTTATATGCACAACACACAGTTTTTTTTTTTTTTTTTTCTCCAAACTCGCTGATGGGAAAAATTCCAGGCAGCCCAGTCGGAAGCTTAGTGAAAAAAAATGTAAAGGATTTTTTAAGTGATAAAAATTTTTTTTGCTACTTTCGTTTTACTTATACACTAGAAACATCAAATATGGCTGTTGGTAAGAATAAGAGATTATCCAAGGGTAAGAAGGGTTTAAAGAAGAAGGTCGTAGACCCATTCACCAG